TATTGACAGTACTGCTTCTCATAAAAATGCAGAAGAACAGGGAGGATTTGCAAAGCTGGTTTTTCTGCACTTCTGGCTAGGAAAACTAAGGGGTTTAACAAGCTTGACATTGAAAAGGATCTGTGTCAAACACTAAATGAAAATGGAGATTTTTTTTTTAATGTTGACCAATAGAGGGTTGAGAAGAGGGCCCTTCAGTTATGGCAACATGCAATTCCTTTCTGTAAAAAAAAAAAAAACAGAAAAACAAAATAATGTCTAAAACTAGACAAAATTACCAAAACCAACCATTTCAGGGAACTGAAAATTGGCCAAAGGCACACAACAAATTGAGAAGCTATTGTGACTTTATCAAATTAAAGAGAGTCCCAGGAAGTATCTGATGGTGACTTTGGTACAAAAAACTACTAGGGAATTGAAACAGAATTTATTACTTAGAGGTCCTGGAACAGGTACATGGCACACCTCAAGGCCATGTGAGGTCTCCAAGGCAGGGTGCAGGTAGAGAAAGTATGGCAGGACCTAGGGCCCATGCCATTATTAGTCTGTAGGTGGAGGGCTTTGGAGTTCCCAGGTTAAACCTGGATTGGCCAATTCAAACCAAAAAGAACAGGGGTTTGGTAAGCCTCTTGGGTCTCCTCTAAGGGGTGCACAGGAGAAAGCTCTGGGAGATGAAGGAGTCTCATTATTTCAAAGGCTATTGGGGGAGTCATATTAGGAACTTACATTTACCTGTACAAAGAATTAAAAGAAAATACATAGAAATGACTCAACAAAAAGGGAGTTTTAATATAATAAAAACTACAGAATATAAAGAATTAAATGGCAATTCTAGAGTTGAGAAATACAATTGAGAAGTTAAGAATTCGCTAGATGAAACTGTCAATAGATTTTGAGATAGTGGAAGAAAGAATCAGTGAACTTGAAAATAGATCAATAGAAATTATCCAACCTGAAGAGTAGAAAGGAAAAAAAAAAAAGACAACTGAATAGAGCCCCGTGGGACAATGTTAAATGTCCACACATTCATGTACAGGGAGTCCCAACAGAGAAGGGCAAAGAGAAAAAAAAAGAGAGGGAAGAGAGAGAGAAAAGGGGAAAGAGTCATTTAAAAATAATTGAAGAATTAATGACTGAAAACTTTCCAAGTTTGATAGAAAATACTAAACTACAGATCCAAGAAGCTTAGCCAAGACCAAAGTAAAAGACACAAAAAGAACCACATGTAGGTATAGCATGGTCAAACTGCTGAAAGCCAAAGGCAACAAAAAATCTTGACAGCAGGACAAAAATGACCCAACACATACAGGAAAATAGCAATATGACTAATTGCTGATTTCTCATCACTAACATTGAAGGCCTGAAGCCAGTGGAAGACCATATTCAAAGTGTTGAAAGGAAAAACTGCCAAGTAAGAATTCTATATCCAATGGAACTATTCTTCAACAATGAAGATGAAATAAAGATTTTTTTTCATCTTTAGCAAAAGAAAGAATTCGTTGGTTACAGAACTGCCTTATAAACAATATTAAAGGATATCTTTCATGTTGAAAGTAAATGAGATTAGGGATCTATTCAAATGCACAGAAAGGAATGAAGAGCACTGGAAATGGTAAATATGTAATTAAATATGAAAGTATTTCTATTTCTTGAAAAATAGAAGACTATTTAAAGCCTTAATTGCAACACTGTTGGTTTATAACAGGTATTGTATATATATATATATTTGAAATGTATGTTTATTCATTGTTGATATGTGTGTGTACATGTGTGTGTGTGTGTGTGTGTGTGTGTGTATGGTTAATACATATCAACAATGCCATGATGGAGGAATGGGAAATGGAGCTATTAAGTGAACAAAGCTGCCACATTTTACCAGAATTAAGTTAATATTAACCTAAAATAGATGGTGACAACTTAAAGATGCATACTGTAATTCTAGAGCAAGCACTAGAAAAACTTAAAATATAGCCAATAAAAGAGGAATTAGAATAATACACCAAAATCATCTGTTATACAAAAAAGCAGTAAAGAAGGAACAGAGGAGCCAAAAGTCATGAGAGACAAGTAGAATTTGAAATAAAATCACAATACCCTGTGCATTAGCACATCCCTAAAAGAGAAATACTTAGATGCAAATCTAACAAATAAAGTACAAGACCTATATGAGGAAAACCACAAAACTCTGATAAAAGAAATCAAAGAACTGGAGAGAGATAATCTACATTCATGGGTAGGAAGACTCAATATTGTCAAGATGTCAGTTCTTCCCAATTTAATCTATAGATTGAATGCAATCCAAATCCAAATCCCAGCGAGGTATTTCAGGGATATCAACAAACTGATTAAGTTTATATGGCCGAAGAGCCAACAAAATATTGAAGATGAACAAGACTGGGTGATTATGAGGCACCAATGTGGGTTCAGCCTTGATGAAAAAAAAATGCACCATACTGGTGAATGATGTTGACAATGGAGGAGACCGTGCATCTGTGAAGCCAGAGGGTGTGTGAAAAAATCTCTGTACTTTGTTCTCAATTTTGTTGTAAATGTAAAACTGCTCTGAAATAGTCTTAAAAAAAGATAACATGAGGGGCTCTCTTGTCCCCTCCTGGCTAGTGTCAGGAGCTCTGTCTGTCCTCTCACTGTATCTCAATAAAAGTCTCCCTGGCAAAAAAAAAAAAAAAAAGATAACATGAGACGTAGCAAACAAATAGCAAAATGACAGATGTAAATTAACCACATCAATAATTAAGTATGAAGAGACTAAATAAACCATTTTGATAAAAAAGGCAGAGCTTGTCAGCTATGCAAATTATCAAACTATCTACTTTTTGTGCATATTTTGGGGAAAACTAAAGGCATATGAATGGAAACAAACAAAAAAATAATAAATGGCATCCAAGAAACAAGGGATCAAAACAGAAAAAAGGCAAAGGGAATTTGGAAGAGGGTGCTGGAATGCTGCAGGATGAGACAGGGCTTTGGAGGCCCTGTAAGAGAGGCCTCTAGGTATAAAATGGAATCTGATTATTTGAAGTTTGAATATTTAGACATTAACTTGATAGACATTTCACAAATCTGTTAGCTCTTCCATGGAAAATTCAGTGATTAATTTATGGGAAACTAAAATGAAAAATAAGGCAACTATTAACTCCAGAATAAAAGAAAAATGTTGAAAATGTAATCCATGATACACAATTTCAATCAGCATTCATTCATTCATTCATTCCACAAATATTTGAGTGCTTAGTCTATGTCAGGCCCTGTTGTAAGCACTGGGCTAACTGCAATAGCAGAATAAATCTCTGTTTCAAGGAGCTTACATTCTAGTGGATGGAGATAGGTGCTTAAAAGAAAGAATCAATATATATCACAGTGATTCATGCTTTGAAGAGAATTTACAAGCGTACCTGGGCTGGAAAATGAGAAGTGCCTGCTATTTTACATAAAGTAGTCAGGGAATAAAGTTTGAACAGAAACCTGAGTAAAGTGCAGGAGAGAACTCTTGGATCTGTGGGGAAAATGTCCAACAGAGAAGAGACAGTGCAAGGTCCTGAAGCAGGAGTGGACTGTACTCGTTTAACAGAAGGACCATGTGTTGCAGGGGTGGAGAGGTAGGAGATCTAAGAGATCACCCAGGATCAGGTAGAGTCTGTTGGCCCTGGTAAGGACTTTGAATATACAGAGCCATAATGAAACTAATGATTTAAACAAGTGAGTATGACGTGACTCTGTAAACACAAAGGGCTGAAGAGAAGGGAGAGGTCGTGAGAGCTCAAGGAAGCAGGCAGATAATGCCTGACAAGACAAACTCACAAGTGGCAGCATGCACAAATTAATGAGCATTATGGAGATAAAATCCAGAAGAAACAGTGGAAAGAGTTTAAAGTAGTTTCACTAGGAGGCAAGGAGGGAGGGAGCATAGGGCTGCTGCTTTTCACTATAAGCCTTTTAAATACTATTTGATTTTTTTTTAACTATTAACATTTTCTAAAAGCTTGTTAAAGTTCTTGCTGAAGGGTGGAAGCCTCGGATGTAAACCTGTCAGACGTGGAAGTCCTGACAGTGTAGCCAGTGATGGCGGGATGGGCTCCCTGATGGCCGAGGTTGGACTAGGCTGTGCAGACCACGAGCACTTTATGTTCCTAGGCGCTATCTTCTCGAACATCATCAACTATTTTTCTCCCACCCTACATATTCTTTAGGTCATCACCCAGGCCACAAGGGAAAATAATCATTTTCTTTTTGAATCAATTCTACTGAACACTCCTCAATTTGATCCTATAGTCTATTCTACTGTAAGTAGGGTAATGGCAAATCATGCCTGAAATCTCTTTTGGAATAAGGTGGTGTGTTTATATAATTATTTTAACTTTTACCAAACTTGAATTATATTGGACATATTCATTTACATTAAAGTGCTGCATCAGATCTGTAGTTTTTCAAATTATTTTTCAAAGTAGGTGAAGAATGACATTGGGCTTTCACTTGCACATCTTTCATTACGAGCCTTATTATCAATTTGTATCATTTTGTGAATTCTGTGCTGATATCTTTTGGCCATTCTGCTATGGTCTTTTCCTTACTAATTCGTAAAGAGTACATAATGTTATAACCATCATAACTACTACAAACATCTTCCTGATTTGTTTGCCTTCTGATGCTTTTGATATATAAAACGCTTATGTAGGTGGGCATTTTTCTTCTCTACTTCCCGCCTTTACATTTAGGAAGGCTTTTCTCCCAAGATCAGTAAATATTGCCTACCCTCCTTTGTCCTTTTATATTACCCACGTCTCTTAAATCGTTAGGGCCAGTGATATTCTCATGGACATGTAACTCATTCCACAAACAATACTTCAATGACAACAACATAAAGGCTTATTTTATGAGACTGAATGGATTCTTCTTACTTAATATGGCTTATGATTTGGAATTCTCAGTCACATACTGTTTTCTTCATTCAGGCACCTAACAGCTATCCCCTTATTTTTTAGGTGTCCTGGAACCCTGATGGCAAACTTCAAGGGCCATGCTGTCCCAGGGAGCTTCTTCTTGATAACTGGACTATGGTGGTCAGTGAAGTATCCACTGAAGTACTTTCACCAAAAGGGGAAAAGCAGCAAACTGGCCCATTATTCTCAGCGTGTTGAGATCATTGAAGCTGCAATCAGAACTTTGTTTTCAGTCATTGGTAAGAAGCGGGTCATCTGGCCCAGGGGAATCTCCCATCCAACCCAGAACTTTTAACCCATTTTTGGACCCCATGAAATGGACATTTCCACTGGCAGAGATAATGGAACAAAGATTTGCAGTTGGCCACTAAGTATTTTATCATAACATCTACTGTGTACAGTGCTTTGTAATTTTAAGTTAATAGCTCCTTACATCATAGTGCATTACAAAACACTACCAAATAAACTACATCCTTTGCCCTATAGATGTCTATGAAAACGATAAAACACACATAAAAACAGCAAAAAAAATTAGAACAAGCTCATGTACATGTTATGAGAAAGTACTAAAGAAGTTGTTTTAGAAAAATCATCTCCCCACCCCCAAACCCAGTATGTCTGTCCACTAGACCCTCAGTAGTGAACACCCAAACTCATTGGCATATCACCCATTCCCAAATCTCAAGCAATTACGGGGGCAGGAGCAGGGGGTTTACAACAAAATCCATCCCCTCTTGTCGTCCCTGGCGCACCACCGGCGGCCCTCACGGAATGAGCAGGGCAGGGGGAGCAAGCTCTTCCTTGGGACCAGCACATCACGTGAGTTAACAAGGCCCCTTACTCCTCAAAGGCATTTTGCCACTTCCCATCTTTGTCCACAGTTCCTCTGGAGGAACTAACGCGGTGACAGTAGCTTCTGTTGGAGTACACAAGCCTATGTAGCTGTTTGCCCGGTGCAGCGGAATTTTCCCATTCACGAGTCATTCGGGCATCAGAAAGGCTTTCTTATGTCTCTGGAACTGAGAAGGAAAAGGGACCATGTGCTTAATTGCTAAGGACAGCATCAACTTGGCCTAAATGAAGCTAGAAAAATTGTATTTGGCCTCTTTGCTAGATGAAAATAATACTCATTCGATCATTCTCTCTTGAGTTTCTGCCATGTGCCAGGAACTCGCTGTTCTACGTACTGGGGATACAATGGGGAGCTGATCACAGCCCCTGGTCTTACAGGGCTTCCATCCCAGTGTCACGGGGACTTCCTTTTCTTGGGTTGTTTCCACCAACTCCTTGATCCTTTACACATAAATTCATACAGGGATTGGGTTCGTAAAAAAAAGTTTAGGGAAGAGGGTCCAGAATGTTGCCATGGAGAATTTATTTTAAGGTCTAAGTGCATCAAGTATAAAGGCACCTTCCAGAACAGGTGAGAGAGCAGAGGGGCCTCAAGCTGGGACAAGGACCCACAGCTGGGAGCTCGCTTGAAGCCTGCTGACAGAAACCCGCCTGGGAGCTGCTCTCCCTTAGGAACGCCCACCTGTCACCGCCAGGGTCTCTCCTCAGATGCTCTTATTTCCGACGCAGCTGTTTCCTTGAGGTTCCTTTCACTGCTCCCTTGGCAGAGGGCGCCCAAAGACCAAGGTATCAGCCACATTCTCACTTAAGTGATAGGGCCTCACTTTCACCTCAGCTACCAAGTTTCCTGAGCACCATATGGCCACATTTCTGTTGCTTCCTCTCACTGCCCCCAACCCCAAAGGAACAAAGGCAAGAGGTCTGAGGAACACAGGCTCCTCAGCAAACCCCTTTCCACACTGAAGCGGCTGCATCTGTGGCAGCAGAACCAGTCCACTCACCCAGAGGCCATCCCTGCCCACATCTGATCTTTAGTCCTCACTTGGGTTACTTTTTTACATCTCCTGCCTGTTGTGGAGCTACTCCTCTTGCCAATCTCCACTCTCGTTTCCTACAGGCATCCTGGGAGAGCAGTTTGTCCCAGATGGGCCCCACCTGCACCTGACACATGAAAACCACTGGGTGAAGCTGATGAACTGGCAGCACTGCACCATGTATGTCTTCTTCATGGCCTCAGGCATCACCGACATGCTCACCTGTCTGGTCACCCACGTGCCCCTGGGGGTGGACAGGCTAGTTATGGCCATGGCAGCATTCACCCAAGGTAAGCTGGTACGGATGGAAAAAAAGCAAGACTGTCAAGTTGTGTTTGAGGGATCAGGGTACAAAGATCAGAAATACTACAGTGTAGTAACTCTCCCAAGAAAATCCACATCTCAGACTTGAAAACCTGAATCAGCACATGAGGGCCTGAGGCAACAGTGCACAGACTCGCCCTGCCACCACCACGCATGTGCGTGCCTGTGCACATTTCCACAGGGACTCACAGCTGTCCCACGCCTGGCTGAATGCCACCATGCAAGAGGGTAACTCCCATTGGTTAGGGAAGAGACACTGCACTCCACCCACACCTGGCATGTTATAGTCTGGATGCCATCACTAATCTCAGGACACCACCAAATGGCCAGGCCAAATGTAGCTATTAACTGGGGTAATGAAAAGCATGTTGGAATCCAACCCCCTCGTTAGCTTCTGCTTCAGAGTTTAATGAGGAAAAAAGGTTGTGAGACCAAAACTAAATTTCAGGTGCACACAGTTTGTCACAAGCCAGCAATGGGGCATTTACTTATCCTGTACTGAATCCTCTGAGGATTCTATAGATTTAGATACGTCCTTTGCCGTATATGTCCTTTGTGCTTCACACACACAAAATAAATTTCATCTGCATGTTTGATGCCCTGTAATGTTATATAAACTAACTTCCTGAGTGCTGAAAAGTCTAGCTTTGAGACCGCTGTAGGAGGGAATTCTGATGGAAAAAGTCTGGAACAAATCCTCTTAAGTAAATACAAGCCCACCCCTGGAGGTTGTCGTTTGCTCTGCTGCAGGTTTTCTCTTGCACTACCACGTGCACAACCGACCACCACTGGACCAGCACATCCACTCACTCCTGCTGTACATTTTGTTCGGAGGAGGCTTCAGTGTTTTCTTGGAGGTGATCCTTCGGGACAACATTGTGCTGGAGCTTTTCCGAACCAGTCTCGTCATTCTTGAGGGCACCTGGTTCTGGCAGGTACTGGTTCGAATCAATTTGGATCTGTATGGATTAGAGAGTCCCACTAAGCATGTCCAACACCCTGAACAGGCTTAAGATGGCCCCTTTCCCTCCATGCTCACCCCATGACTTACGTGACTCCACCCATGAGGATCCTGCAGTGCAGTAATGAGCATTATCTGTGGTGTGTACATGACGAGCAGATGAACCCTTTCCTTCCCTGCCCTCCTCACTGGAGGATACATTTGCAGGCTCCACTTACTAAACTGTTCACTTGAAATGTGGACCCTTGAAATTTTGTTTTAAATACACCTAATGCTAAAACCAGAATTAACTTGGAGCAATGTTCCTATGCACAAAGGCCCTTCTATAGTTAACAGAGGTATGGGAAATACGAGGTGGTGGTGAATACATGAATGACTTTGGTAGCCACAGGAAGGAAGTTAGGTTGCATCTCAGGATGCATTAACGGAGGCCGATTCTCTGTGTAATCCACCAGATTGGGTTTGTGCTGTTCCCACCTTTTGGAGCCTCCGAATGGGACCAGAAGGATGATGCAAACATCATGTTCATCACCATGTGCTTCTGCTGGCACTACTTGACTGCCCTCTGCATTACAGCCATCAGCTACTCTCTTGTTTATTGGTATGACCGAGAGAACATAATTTTTGTCAATTTTCCTCCTAATCAACCCTCTGCCCCTGAAATTTATTACCCTGCATCATTTTTATTCCCAGTGGCCCACCTTTCATAACTAAGCAGTGCTAACTTCTACCACTTAAAGGGTTGCCAACTGTATGCCAAGTTCTGTGCAAGGTACCCCACCCCATAAACAAGGGCAAGAAGGCTTTGGGAAGTTAAAGGACCTGTCTGGTCACAAAACACTGTCAAATGCAGTTAAGACAGATCTTAAGCCTGTGGTGTGAAAGGAAAAATACTGAATTAGGCGTCAGTACTAGATTGCAGCCCCTGCTCTGTCCTGGGAGCATTGTGAGCCCATCACTTCATCCCTGAATTTGCCCTGCCTGCTCCCTGGAGATACTGTGACAATCAGTTAACACACCATGGCAGCAAGTGCTCTCACAAGTGCTCTGTGTCCCAGGTACTCTCATAAGCACTTAAAGCATGTTATCCCATTTAATCCTCATCACTTTATGAAGGATGTACTGTAGTGTCTTACAGATGAGGAAACCAGAGCCTCCAAGACTGAGTATCTTGATCAAGGTCACCCAGTGAGTAAAGACAGAGGCCCAGCTCTAGCCACCAAGAGGGAGAGACTTGTAGCACATTGTATTACTAGTTCTATTGTAGCTGCCTATCTTTTTTTCCTAGCTCCTTCTTTCCCTATCCAAAGCAGATACACTTTACCCAGGAAGAGTTCCACGCAGACCAGAAGGAAGGGAACAAGGCTGCAGTTTCTTTTAGTTCAACCCTCTGGTCAATGAACCCACACACTGGAAAGCAGGAGACCCAGGCTTAGTCCTTGTTATGACACTAACTATTAATCAGGAGTGTCTGTATGTACCAATTGCTACCATTCAAAAAACCAGATATGTAGACAAGTAATAACAGTATTTGATATAGATATGTAAGAAAATAGAGTAGATGCCTTCATATCCTTGGGTGAGAGGAAAAGGGAAATTTGGGGGCTAATTTTTTCTTGCTATTTCTCTATTACAGCCTTTTGAGTCGGTCAAAGAGGCACAAAGGAGAAATCATTGGGATTCAGAAGCTAAAATCAGATCACACTTACCAGGCGGCCCTCCTGAGTGGCTCAGATGAGGAATGAGCAGAGGCCACCAGTCATGTCCGTTTGGCCACAAACAGCTTGAGTGCAAAGCTGTAATTCATCTCCGTCCTAATGCTTGTTTTGGTCTGCTCTCAAGGTTCTGTACATTTACTTGACTCATTCAATTGACTAAAGGCTGGGTTGGTGTTGTATCTGTCATAAAGAAAAATGAAGCCAGCCTTTGTGTCCCAGTGTGAAGAGAAATCAAGAGACTCACAGTTTCAGGATAGGAAATGGTCTCATGTATGAATCCAGCAGAACTGACTGCTTTGGATGACTTACTCCCTTTTCTCTCAAGAAAGCAGGTATTTCTTATCAGAAAGTAAGTGAATGACAGTGCCTTTATTTTAGAGACACAATTCTAACATGTATTTTTTAAAAGTAAAATAATTTGCAAGCTTTGGTGTTTCAAATATTACCTGTTAAACGTCTCATAATTAATCAAAATATTCCAGAGTACTGTACTACCTCAGTGGGTAAGTGATGAGGTTGGACCAAAGGTGACTTTTTTTTTTTAATCAGGAAACTATTAGTGGCCCAGCTGTGACCTAGAACTCAGATGTTTTGGCTCCTCTTACCCTACTAAAAAGATACTGACAGGAAATATGAATAGCAAGGTAGAGAAATGTGGAAAGCTTTGAATTTAGATACAACTGAAAGCAGAGGATAAGAATCCTGCAAAGACATGAATCTGGAAGTAGTAATATAAAGTCTTGATACTCTTTTTTGTCTTAGTTCTGGATCTGTTTTTTCTTCAAACTTCCTTCAACAAATATTTATTAAAAATCTACTTTGCAGCAGCACTGAAATGGTTGGACTGATAAATTAGGTGTTCAGCAAGGAATTCAGTCTGATGCAGAGATAAGCCAGCAGTTACACTCGACTGGCGTCATACGCGGTGAGCACAACTGCCAGGAGACACAGAGGGGAAGAGTAGGGAGTCTGCCTGTGGAAAGCACGGTCAGGCACAGAGCACAGTCTGAACGAAGGCAACGTAAGTGTGAAGGAGCATAGGGAGTCTGGAGTTCTATAAACTGGTGAAAAGTGGGGATGGAAAAATTTGAAAGGTGTTATAGACCAAACAGTACCATCCCTTTGTTTAGCATTTCCCATGGCCTTCAGAGAAGTTAACTATCCTCAGGTCACACATCCACTAAGTCATATAACCAGTCTTCAGGACTCAAAAGCCAGCTCATTTCCCCTCTGCCACTCACACAAATATGGTAGATCATTCATATGCAGCACTGTATGCTCTCTGGAAGAAACAAGATACTTAAGTGAAAGGTAACCATGGTTAGCCAGCATTTCACAGTTGAAGTCACATCTGAAGGATTAAGAATGAGCTCTCTGAAAAGCCTGACTTATAATTAGAAGAGAACCTGTGGGTCTCCTTTCAGGATCTGCCTTGGTCTGCCTGATGAGCAGGAACTGAACACTTCACTCAGCAAGTACTGCTGGACCTATTGTTGGCAGTTAATGTATATGTCCTCTCCTTAAGGACTGGAGGTGGGAAAAAGGAACCTATTCCCACTTTTACTTTCATGGTAAAGATTTTTAAAAGCAGGGGGCAGCGGGATGCAGTGGCAGGGTATTTAAAGGAAACGTATTTTCTCCAGTGTGAGGGTGTTGAGTTATGAATACTATGAAAATATTAAAATGTATTTAGATGCCCCATTCACAGTGTGGGTTGAGATCCCTTCCTGAAGTGATCAACCCTGACAAAACCATTCTTGGATGTGGTATTAAAGTATAGACCCATCACAATGCCATTCACCAAATCTAGTCTTAGAAACATGGTCTGAATAATTTTACAGAGGTTCAGAGGTTCAGCGGCTGCCACAGTTCTTCTGGAATTATTCCCCCAAAACATCCACCACAGCTACCACATGTCCACCAGAACCCAGAGGTCTGCATCCAAGGAACCATATTTGGTACAAATGCTGGTGATGTCACTTGAACAACTCCAGTGAGGGCTATCATGCTACAGTACCCCACTACAGGCTGGGCAGCGCTAAATTACACTTACCAGGGAGTCGGCCCTACATTGGCATCCTGTGTGGCCCTAACTATTCTCCCAGGGTGTAAATGTCTGTGGGCACCAAGGAAACAGGCAGGGGACTTCACAAAAGTGTAGGGTAGGGCTGGGGCTGAATGTCAGAGCCATTTCTATGAAATCATTTGTTAAGTAAATTGAGAAGGGGTTTGTTTTAAGCAGGAGTAAATACCTGAAATAGGGTCCCTAAAATTTCTACTTTTTTCTCATGCAGAAACTGTCACATGGACTTTCCATGTGAAATGACTCTAGGAAACAGTGACATGAAAATATCAAAGCATTACAACACATAGATGTACCTCCTATACTTAAGAGCCATTTTTTCCCCTTCATTGCAGCCTATCTCCTTTACGAATCTTACTTCTGTGCCAGTCCTCTCCTGCCCATCAAGTTTGACCTATCCCAGCCAATTCACCTCTGCTCCTTGGAGTCCAGGCTCACCACTCGTAACTGCACTGTCCCCAAGTCTTACTTACCGTGACATATCACGACCATCCTCCCCCTAGGGCAGCAGGAAGGGTACTTGACTTAGAAGACTGGGTTCACATCTCCATTCTCTTTAATTTCAACTCAGACACAGCACTTCCTCACAGTTAAAACAGGAATGAAAGTGTCCACAGACCTGCTTTAAGAATCAAATGAGATGTCTGGAAAAGCACCCTGCAGGCCAAGAGGCCACACTAACCTTCTCTCCTCCTTGGCAGCTTGCCCACTCACTCCACTTGTGCCCAGCCATGCCCTCTGAACCAGGCATCCCAACTCCACTTCCTCACCCAGGACCCACACAAGATCATCACTGCATTTCCAGATTCAAGGCCCATTTTTAATAATGTGGACACTTTCAAGAGAGAGAGGGAAACTCTGCCACTGCAGAAAAGCTTTGCCACCTGACCCCTGGTCCAATACAAGAGAAGCACATACTGCCAACACCAGTGCTTTCATCTCTTAGCACATTTTAAAATAGTGTTCTGAGCTCTGCCTGTAGCTTGATGGAGGCTAAGAAGAATGAAAGAGCTATACAACTCATTAAATGACTTGTAAATCTAGACTGACCTCTTCTGTGGGTGGTGCTGCCTCACAGGCACCCCCTTCTCTCCCTGCTCTCTCTACTCAGGAGCAGAAGTGAGCAAAGTTTTACTTAGAGGGCCACATAAGGAACAGTGTAGGCTTGAGAGCCACATGGTCTCTATGGCAACTCCTCAGTTCTGCCTTCTAACTGAAAGCAGCCACAAGTAAGGTATCAACGAATGGGTGTGGGCTGTGTTCCAATAAAATTTTATTTACAAAATCGGGTACCCAGCCCAAGGGCTGTGGTTTGCGGAATATACAATCTGAACCGCAATACAGTGTGTGCCGCAAAAGCAGCGCCTGCTGGCATCCACCTCCTCCACCCACTGGCTTAATAAGAACACAGCTGGCAAGTAAAATATGGACCATAAGTAAGATCCTGATACCCATCTTTAAGAGGCAGAGCCAAACTAATCCCATCTGTCCCACTCAGCTGCTCCATTACTATGTAGATCTCAAGTCAGCCACCAACTTACTAAGAATCTCACTATTTTCTTGCTCTGGTCAAAGAATAAGTAATCCGTTTAGAGGGGCTAAAGCCCAGGTACTTATTTGATGAGGATGTACAATAGATTCTTTAAAAAAATAAGTCACATAAAAATTTTTGGACACAAAATTCCTATCCAGACCACTACTCACAGAAGACCTAAAAAATACAATTCACTTATAGAACAAGGCTCATTCACTGTCTGCTCATTCATGTACTCCAACTGTAAGCCCTCCCTCGATGTCATGCTCTCAGGAAAGAACCTTGGTTTGTGTGACGCAACTCTTAATACAGAAACTTCTGGATCCACGAGGAACAGACCTGGAGCCATGGACTCTCCTCAGTGAGCTCCACTGTGCAGTGTGGTGGCAGAATCCAAGCCACTGTTGCCATCATCCCACTACTGGCCTTCCTTAGACAGGCTTAGAGTAATGATGCCCCTGCCCCCATTCCCTTCCTTTCAGCCAGAAAGGCAGACAGGCACGAGCTTTGATGGAAGCCATCTTTCCCACTCGGAATCACTGTTGTTCAGGTGTCTGTTTAGGAGATGGAGCTGTGGTCACGACAACAGTGGACACTGCTTTGGAGGAACCAGAAGCTGTTCCCTGTTGAAGATGGGAAGCAGGAACAGTCTGAATGCGCACCTGTTTGCAAACAGAGAATGCTGGTCAGCAGATTGCAAATGGGCTCCTCAGTTGAGAACTAACAGCAAAGGAAAGACAAAGAAGCCTGGTATGACCAGTGGTTTGCCTTAGACCTTACCTGTGTGGCCTGACCTTGTTGCTGAAGCTGCTGCAACTGCTGGGCAGTAAGGAAACTAACAGGCTTATTGCCAGCAATGAGCTTAGTACCCGCTGGCATGGTGGTGAGGATGATATTGCGGCCCAACCCACTGAGGCTGTGGAGGGAAAGCAGGAGTGAGGCATAATGGTAGGATGGCATGCTATCAGGCCATGTGTTCAAAGAAAACAGGGAGATCTGGTGCCCAGTGAAAATGCCAGCATTTGGCCTGAAACAGAAACCAGCTGAGACCACCTTTCTTTCAGCCTCTCTGCTTCCCATGATGTGAGAAAGAACAAACCCAAAGGTACCCAGGGCTTTGACAGAATGGCTCTGACATCCATTATCTTGTTCAGCAAGATTAATGGACAATGTTCCAGGGAGGGGTGTGCTGACAAGAAACCGTCCCCCAAAGCAGCTACCTGGCGACCCTGACAGACCTCTTCAGATTTCTTTCTTATTCCTGTTTCAGTCAGAGCCCCAAGAAGCCCAGGCTCCCAAGTAAGCCCTTATTCTCTGAACTGTCACCCTACAGGGTTCAAATGTTGACATGAGGCCTTCCCTAACACCCCCACTGGAATGGCACCTGAGCTGAGTCCCCTTACTTGCTTTTGCTCCAGAGTATGTATCATCACCCCACAGAATACTTTATTACTTCTCTGCCCACTCCACAATATAAGCTGGAAGACAGCATGGATTGGTCTGTTTTAATCATTGCTGTATCCCAGCACCTAGAACAATCCTAGGCACTCATTATTGTTGCACTAAAAAGAAGCTACCAGAGGAGAGCCCCAAAAAGACGAGCTGCCTTTCCACTGTGTGACAAGGCGCCACCCAGGAGCCCTGCCCACCCTCACCACAGCACTTACTTAGCTCCAAGGTTGCCTTTAATGATGGGGGCTGTGACCACACTTTTGCCCTTCATAGGCTGGCTAATCACAGACAGTGGAACTGTGATCCGTGTAGGCAGTTTCCCCTAAAAAGAAACAGCAGTGAGGCTTATGGGACAGAAGGAGATAAAACCATCAAGCATCACCCACAGGGCTCCCAGAGCTGAGGAGCAGGCACTGATGTTTTCACTCCCTGTGTTCTGCAGGGCCCCCATGTCCCTGAGCTGTGGGCCAGGCAACCCTCATGAAACTGCTAATATGCTGTAGTTAAGTGTTCAAAGTCTGTATTTCGGCATCGTCTCGTATGTTATCCTCTTTCATGTTACCTAAAGCAGCAGCAAGCACATAGAACTGCCATCATCAGGATCAAACTGTGCACCTACATCATGAAGGAAAGTGTATGTTCCCTAAAGCACAGCAACAGTCTGAGTCTCATTCTGGCCAAAAGAATAAGCTATTAGGAATAAACTCTACCCTTGGAGGGTGGGGTCTTACTCATCTGTGTACCCCCAGTAACTGGCACACATTAACTGTTTGAAGTAAACGAGAGGAGGGATAGAGGCTCTTAAGAGTTAATACAGTAAGCTCGTAACTACTGCTTCATTGGAATGCAGGCTCACTGGTGGGAAGTGCACAGCACGGCACACTCAATTAGCAACAGGTCACATTCTCTGGGTACTTTCCGTTTCTCCCAGAGATAAGAGAGGTTAGTTAAGGAATGCTAATGATAAACTCAACCAGGTGAAAAGTCCAACCCCAAAGCTAGTTAAGGCCTGAAAGGAACAGAAAAGCTGAAAAGGCCTGGGCCCCTGGGATTTCAGGATGGCTGAGATTAGGTCCCTGCATCACCTGTTTTCATGTCACTTGGTTTGTAGCCCGTGGCTGACAACATTTATATACAGTAAAATCTTGTATTTTAAATCTTATTTTTAAAAATTATTCAGGAAGGATGGTTGATAAGATGCCAAGAAAGGCACTGACATTTCCTGTGGGCAAGCTAGTCCTAAAGAAGCCAGGCGCCCACAAGTAGCAGTACATCACTGGTGCCCACACCAGACTCCATGGTTCACTCCCAAAATGTAGCCCATCAGAAAGCCCTGGAAGTGCCAACAGGCAACACAAGACTTCAAGATGGGGTCAGCAGGTAGACTTACATAAGGCTTTATTTTCTTCTTAAGATCACCTGAGTTGCTTAAAACATTTCAGATTACCAGTAAACCAACTGGAAGTGTCCCTTCACAAGCAGCCTAGCTAGCCGACTAGGGAGGGAAAAAGCACCCTTCAGTACTTCCTGACCCACTGGATGCTCTCTGGTTGTATTTATCCAGACTGATTACTAACAAGAGAGATGTGTTTGGATGCTACCTTTCTGCATTAGGAGGAGGATTCAGGAGCAACAGCGATGGGTCAAGTAAGCGCTGTTTCCCTGCCTCCTTATTTTAACTTCTATGATAGAAGAACCTAAACAAACACTTCCTTTTAAGTCACACTATATTGAAGGGTTTGCTGGCTGGTTGATTATACTATGTCCTTCCTCATCCATCACTCTGGCTTTTATCTGAATGATGACTATGTAGCTTGCTCAGAAAACTAAATTATGCTTTATACTGTCTATAAGTATCCCACTATACAGAAAACAGTGCTCCTTATCTGGAGACTGGAGAATAAACACACATGTCCCCAGAAATGCAGCTAAGGTGACATGGGCAATTTGGTTTGTGATAAATGTAGTATTTCTAGTTAGTAGGGAAAGAATACACTAGTCAGTGATGTTGGAATAATGTGAAAAATGTAAAATGGTATCTCTGCCACATGACAGTGACAAAACTATATTTCAAATAGATAATCAATTATACTTTTAAAACTCTGAAAATATTAATGAAAATGAAGGCTATTATCTTTAAAATGTCAGGGTTAAGAAAAGCCTAAGACGCAAAAGCTAGGAACCATAAAATAAAATGTTGGTAGATCTAATCAGATAAAATACCTTTAGAGCAAAAGGCTCCATATGCCAAGGTTAAAAAATGACAGACTGGAAGAAAGTTTTCTACACATACAAAAAGCTAATGCCCAGAAGATATAAAGGGCCACCTCAAATAACATGAAGAAGCCAAATACCCCAGAAGAAAACCGGCAAAAAAGATTTATTCACCACTGGAGAGCACACACAAATCTCCATATGAATGGATGCTAAGATTACTGAAGCCAGAGAAATGAAACAGGGAAAGAACTGTAACACAGGGATACTGGGAAGACCCACATAAAGTTAAAGATGTACTGTGCTATCCAGCACTGGCTCGGTGTGGGGGAAACGGGACTTGCTGGGGGGAGTGTAAGCTGGCATGGCCTTTTTGGCAGCACAACTGGAGTATCAAAACTTTCAGTATACCTCCCTGACCCAGGCCAGGAACATCCACCAGGAACACACACGTGTGCATACACACGTTCACTGGGCACTGGCTTTCAACAGCGCGTATGTATGCCCGAACAGAGAAGCACAGTGCCCTGTGGATGACCACGGTCTTGGCAAAAAGTCACTATCTGGAGGACGTAGAAAGGTCCTCAAGACATATTTTAAATAAATAAACCAAATCACAGAACAATGTATATAGATTAAGGTCCTCTCTTATAAGGATTCTTTTTTTTTTTTTAACTGTGTGTATATAGATGAAAATGCTCAGGAAAAAGACTGGAAGGATAAATGCCAAAATACCAACAGTAATTAGTCCTCATGAAGAGAGAATTACAGGGTGGTGAAAGAAATTGTCTACTTTACTCTAGGTACTTCTACGCAGTTTTAACTTTTTATAAGAATGTATGCATGTACTGCACTTTCAAAACTTCATTTCAAAATTAAAGAATTCTTTGGCAAATAAGCATTTTTGGGTGACACGAAGTGATACAGACAGGGCTTCCAATTTGTTCCTAAAAAAAGAGAAGTTTCCTGGCTCTTAGGGAGCTTTACCAAGTCTCCTAAGCAGAAAGGACTTTCTTCAGCACTCAAGTACTCACAGCCTGAGACGTGGAAACAACTGTTGTGCTCACAGGGACCTGCCGCACAGTTGGGGCCCCGGTCCCAAGGCTGATGGGGGTGCTTGCAGCCCCAGAAGCCACGGCCACGGTCTTGGACACAGCAGCATTCATACTGGGCAGAGACACCGCTGAAGAATGGACAGTCCCAGACCCACTGGCCACAGAGGACGCTTGCTTGGCATGGGCTGCAACGGTAATAGTCTGGCCTGCTTTGGGAGGCATCACACCCAGGCCCTGCACAATGCGGATCGTGGCAGCAGGTTTCGCTTCTGAAGAGGCCACCGTGTTTTTCCCCTTTTGGTCGGCCACACTCACACCAAGAGCTGGCATTAAGCGAAAAGCTGAACTTGAGGCTTCGGTTGTTTTGAGGTCAGGAGCCACTTTGACCACGGTGGTGCCTGCAGGAGTGGGTGCAGGGGTGCCGGCTGAGCTGGCCGCAGTGGGGCCATCGGCCGCATGGGCTGTAGCCGAGGTGACGTGGAAGGTAGCGGAGATGCCTTTGCCCCCAGGGCCGCTCCCTGGCCCAAAGAGGTCCTGCGTCAGTTTGACCGTGGTGACTTGGGACTTGGCCAATGTGGCCATCATGTCCGGAGTGATTCGCAGAACTGTCTGGCCTTTGGCATCTGTGGTGATGGAGGAGGGTGGCAGACGCAAAACATCCTTACCCTGGATACGGAAGTTAGCAGCTGTGAGTGGCATGCTGTTGCTCGTCTGGGGCTTCACCCCCAGTTGCCCTGTGATTGCTACCTGCATGAGGAAGAAACAGCACTGACAACGGGATTCACAGACTGGGTATGCTGTGTAATGAGGTAAACCTCCATTTCTTGGGTATGTGTATTTCACATATTTTCCTAACTTTAAATTTTGAAAAATAGTAAATGTTCACAGAAGTAGAGAATAGTATAATAAATCCATGTATCTGTCATTGAGCTTCAAAAATAATCACTTTGCCAATCTTTTTTTCTCTCTCTTTCACCATCTTTTGGGGGGAGGTGGTGAGAGGGGAGTTGGAATATTTTAAAGAAAACCAATACACAGTTGACCCTTCCACAAAACGGGTTTGAACAGCATTGGGTTTCCCTGTATGAGGATTTTTTTTCAGTAAATATATTGAAAAACTTTTTGGATTTACAATAATTCGAAAAAAGTTTCTTTTCTCTAGCTTATGGTAAGAACATAAAACAGAATACACAGTAACACAGCAAATGTGTTAATCAACTGTTTGTGTTATCAATAAGGCTTCAGTCAGCAGTAGACTGTTAGTAGTTTAGTTTTTGGGGAGTCAGTAGTTACACGTGGATTTTCCACCTCATAGAGTTTGGTGCCTGCAACCCAAGTTGTTCAAGGGTCAACTATACATCATTTTGGCAATCAATACTTCTGTACACATCTTTAACCTAGAAAAGGACTTCTTAAATTAAAAAAAAAAAATTACCTATATTACCTGAGAGCATATTAATCACATTTCCTCAACTGTCTCAGAAAGGTCTGTTAATAGTTACATCAACCTTCACTTTGAGAGCAGTACAATGTCATGGAGCTTAAAAGCCTGGGCCTAGAGCCTGACTTCCTGGGTTCACACACCAACTCCTCTAAGGCCAATCTTTTCCGTAGTAGACACAGCCCTTCTAGCCTCAGGGTCTTTCTCTGTTGCATGAGCAATTCTCCCCTCTTTACTGGACCACTGCCATCAGAATGCAAACATGCTGTAACACTTCCCACCCTAAAAAGCAGCAAACCCTGTTCTCCTCCACAGCTCCCTCTCCTGCTCCAGCCCAGTCCTCTGCAGTCATCAAAAGCAAAACTGCTCTAAAAATTACTTATATTCACTGTCTCCACTTCCTCACCTTACATTCTCTTTTGAACTCAACCAATCCCAAATAGCCACCAAACTGGCAGGCCACCAGGCACCCACATTATTTCTGTCTGTTGAGTGATCAATTCTAAGGCCCACGCACACACACTCTCTCACCCCAATGTAGGTGCTGACTTCGTGAGCACACTTTTCTCTGTTATAGAATCTCCACACCTCAGTGTTTCCTTCTGTCAGTAAATGACATCATGCTGCACTCAGTCAAATGCCATGGCGTCATTCTCCACTCCCTTCTCTCAGACCCTACGATTAAACCACAGGAAAACCACACCAGCTCCACTTCAACCCTGTACTGAGAATCCCAGCACTTCCCACGGACACAGCACACCTCACAAGGAGTCAGCATCATCTCTCACCTGACTGCGGCCAACTGCCTCTGAACAGGTTTACTCTCCCCATCATGTCCATTCAATGAGGCAGCCAGCAGTTTCTTTAAATGTCAACTCGATCAAGTCATTCTGGCTTGCTATCTTTCAATGGCTCCCACTTCATTTAAGTTATTAAATCAGAGTCCCACAAGATTTAACCATTGGCAACCTCACCTCCTAACACTTTCACATTCGTTCACAAGGCTTCAGCCACAATGGCTTTCCTGTTATTTCTCACTCAGGCATTTTCACTGCCTATCCCTATGCCTGGAAGGCTCTATCTCCAGATAAACTTAACAGGCACTCTCTTCCCTCACTCATCTCTAATGCCATCTCCTCAGAACAGCCCTCCCTGATCACCCTGGTTGACAGGCACACTGCCACTCTACCCCCTCCCGATTACTGATGCTCACAGCTCTTATTGTACTTGACCTCAAAGGGTGTGTCTGTCCCCTAGCTCTATGAGAACATGAACTCCACAAAGGCAAGGACTTGGTCTGTGTAATATACCAGGAAGCCCTCAATACTTTGGAAAGTGCCTGGCACACAAAAAGCACTCAGTAAGTATCTGTTTAATGAAAAAAATGTTACTTTATCATTTGGCTTCCATGTCTTCATCTGTGAAATGGGGATAACACAAGTACCTACCCTGTGGTGTTAGGATTATTTAATATCTATAAAATGTTCTGCACAGTGCAGACACATGGTAAGCACCCATCAGTATTCATTGCTATTTTGCCTAATAATTCCTTGAAGTTCAATGATTATCAATGCATATTCACAATTAAGAAAGTAAAAATGTCTTCTACCTTTACTAGTGCTAAACTGAAACACCAATAATAAGTTATACCATAGGATTTTAACTAAATAAGTTCACGGAGAATCTACTCCAAATCCAGAAGCTCAGCTACTAAATGCTGAATAATTATATGGAAAGAAAAACAGAAGAAATCTCTTTAGCATCTGTAAAGCTTGAGCTGCCCTTGCTAGGAACTCATACTTGAAATATCCATGAACTAAAGACCAAAGGTCACAAATCACTCAGACTCCACTGTCCTCTGCTTTCGGACAAAGGCGTCAGATCCACTGAAAACATTTCCGCCTACCTGCTTGATAATATTCTGTCCTGTGACATTCTGAATGACGGCAGCTGTGGAGGCACTTGGGGCAGAGGTGCCAGGAGAACTCGTGGCTGGCTTGCTCACAGGGCTGGCTGTGGCAGGGAGGCTTGTCACCGTGAACCCTGCCTGCCCAGGTCCAGGTCGCTGCACAGTGGCTGCCGCAGTCTGAGCTTTGACTGGAACCGTGGCCACTGCTGTCTGGTTCAGAGTGCGAAGCCGAGAGTTTGGTTAGGCACTGACCCTGCAGACAAGCTCGCCACCACCTGGGAAGCACTCTGCTATGAGCACCACTGATCAAACATGCTTAAGCTCCCTGCTCCCTGAATGGACACTGTAAAGTTCTTCCATTTGTGTAGAACATCTAAATTTCAGAATGCTTTCACATTTAACATCACACTTTATTCCTACACACTGGGGACAAGTACTGTACCCCTTTCACAGTAAGGGAAACTGAGGCAGAAGACAAAACTCTTCTCTAAAATTACACAACCAGTTAGTGGCACAGTCAAACTAAAGGCACAATGGAAGGAGCCTGAAATTTAGCATCAAAGGTCTGGATTTATGTCCTACCTCTACGAGAATCCTGATGTTACAATCCTAGGTAAACATTGAACTTCTCAGAAGTTCTGATTCTCAGCATGTAAAATACAACTTATAAAAATGCTTATCCAACTTTGCACATTAAATGAGCTGCTGTGATAAACATCATCATCAGTAGCAATACTCTAGACTCCTCGGTCCTTACCCAGAATGCCCACTGGACTCACTGGGCCATGTTGGGTCTGCTCCCCATTTACCTGGGGCATGACTTTGGTCTGTGTAACAGTAGCTGGAACACGAATCTGTGGTCCTGCTGGCATCTGTGGCCCTGCTGGCATCTGTGGCAGTGTCTGTGTTGGCCCTGCTGACTGCTGAGTAACAGCAGGAAGGGAAGGCTGGGCCACCACCCGCACCTGGGGTAGTCCAGCCGAGCCAGAGTGGCTCACAACACGGGCAGCAGCCTGAGAACTTGGAGGAGTCTGGCTGGAAGCTGGGGAAAGCATTGTTCCCAACTGTGGTATTGTGGGTGAAGACACCAGAAGAACACTAGAGGGAAAACCGTTGGGGCAGACAAAAAAACAAAAACTCAGAACACGCATACAAAAGGAACTTGGAGGGAGAAAGCTGGAGCAGGAATAGAAACTTACCCCGAGCTTGACTTAGCTGGTTCTGAGGCAGTAGTGGGGCCACTTTTGTTCACTGATGGTATAGGTGGAGGGGAGATTGGTGTGGCAGGCAGCGCTGGAGTGGTGGGGGTCACAGGTGTGACTGGGGTGGGTGGCATGCTGGAGTCACTGAGGCTCATCTGGCTCTGCTCAGAAGGGCCGCTGCTGAGAACCTTTACTGAGCTCTCCTTGCTGCTGGACTTCTGCGGGCCGAAGATAGAGAGAAATTCATGTGCAGACATAACAAAGGCCCACTAAGGGCAGGCACGGCCCCCACAATCCCTGACACACTGCTCAGGGAAGGCCTGGCTGTTGTCATCCCCAAAAACCTTTAAGGCAGGTGCTCTCAGGAAGTCGCTTACCACCTTGGACGGGGGCTTGGGTTTTTGCTGAAGGGCTTTCCTGGCTTTTGCTGCAGCTGCTTGTGCTTGGTGAATTCGCTCTACGAAAAAGAGTTGTAAGCTTCAGCACAAGTTTAACCTCAGCACAGTAATGCAGGTGCTTTCATTAAGAGTCAAGGCCTTGCTAGAGGGCCAAGTCCTGCCTCTAAAATCCTGTTGGGCCTGACTGCCAAGGAAAAGAATAATGGAATTGGAGTACAAAGGCAGAAGCGTCCCTGGTCTAGCTGGACACATGCCCAGAGGTCTCATACCAAACTCTTCCTCGCTTCGGTCACGATGCAGGTAGATCCACAGTTTGCATCCAATGTCATACTTCACACATGGGTCCTTCTCATAATGCAGCCGATCCAGGGCACCACTCACCACTGTATTCACCTAAGAAACAGAACAAAGCAGTAAAGGACGAGTCAGACTCAGACACCAGGAAGGCCCCTGGATGCAGGTCACAGCTGATGGATACATCACAGCACAGCCTGGAAGTTGCACTCAAAACTAACTCAGTCTAACACTTGGCAAAACAAGAAGGCCTGTCAGATTCCAGAGTAAGTGAGTTGCCCTCACCTGAAGGAGACAGTGAACTAAGAAGCTTTTGGAGGAACTAAAAAGAAAGTCTGGAGTCAAATTCATGCCTCACTAACAGCAAGGGTCTCAGATCAGTGTTTGCATTTCGGGATATACTTCATTGCTCTCTAATTTCATTTTTTTTAAATGTATGCTATAATATTTTATATTTCCTTCTAAGTTTCTGAAACCCATTCTGGAACAAAACAAAAATAATCTCCTCTCCATCCTACCTGAGTGCTGGTGACGTCTGGTGCAAGAAACTGGGAGTCCTTTAGCAATTCACAGATCTCTGCCCGAGTGCCTTCTCCATTTGGTAGCCGAGCTGCAGCATCCCGAACTGGTGACATGAGAAAATGCAAAGTCCAGGAGTCATGCAGGGCTCTGCTGAGGAACACTGTCCCACTACCTGCTTAGGCTTGTCTACCTTTCTCAGGCTCGGCGTCAGGTAGACACTGTCCTCTGGGGCAGTTTCCTACACACTCTTCACACTCTTCACACTTTTGGCCAAGACTGAAGGTCTATGACACCTTATAATTCAGTGGGTCCAGGAACTTCAGTGGGAAAAAAATAATATCTTTAACTGAAATTTAGCATTTCCTTCAATTATGAACAGGTAACAAACCATATATTGGCAATGCAGTGACACTGGAACAAAAATAAGATTATTTTCATTATTATCACTGCTGCAGACAGTTCCTCACTATTTGGAAATTACAGGGGCTCTAAGACTTGCTGCTGTCTTGTCATTTAATATAACAGACACATATATCTGCATCATAAATTTGTTTTAATATTTTGGTAACTATTTCAAGTAACTATTTTAATGGTTTCTTTTTAACTCTATTCATTTTTTTTTTTATGCATTTAAAAACATAATTCTGAGAAGGGGTTCACAGGTTTCACCAGCCTGCTGAAGACATTCATGGCACAAAAAAAAGCTTAAAAACCTCATGTTCATAGTCTGGAGAAGGCAAATTCCCTATACTTAAACTGTGAACAATTCCTGAATGAAAATAATGTGAGCCCAGATGTGAAGGAAGAAATGGATTCCTGGCATTAATCTCTGGGGCTAGAACTCCCCTTCATGTCCCAAATCCAAAGCTTCATAAAGCTACACCTGACTGTCAAAACAGGGGGCAGGGTGGGGAATTTTAATTAGAGAAAAAAGGATCCCTGACAGTAGAGAGACAGCACATACCAAGAGACAGGATGGTGACATAGGCAGGCCGGTCTGAGCGCAGCAGGGAGTGCTCCCGAGCCTTGTTGAGTGAGGTCTCCTTGTCAAACACACCCTTGACAGGCCCCACTACAGACTCAAAGCCATGCATGCGAAAGGTGAACGCCTTATGGGGTTGGCTGTATCTGTAACGCTCCTACAGAGACAAAAGGGATGAGCTCCTAAGTCAGAATTTGCGGGATTCTCTCTAGAGCTCCCATACAAAGAGGGATCAACCTGGAGATATTAAAACAAGAAGAAGCAGTGATTCCACTAGGAATACTGGCCAACCATAGTAGGAAAAGGATGGTCTCCAAAACCCTAGTCACTAACAAGGTAAATATAAATATATTTTGCTATCTGGAGAAAAGGTCATCAAAACTTTTCTCAATCCCTTTCCTCACACCATTTCCACCCCCAACAAACAATCCCAACCAACAGAATATCTAAGGTTAATGGTGTGAGTGTCCTCCACAAATGTGGACTCAGGATTGTGCCTGGAGCATCTCTCTGCATGGCCTCATCAATGCAGAGCTTGCTCTAGCTCTTTCTTACCTGCTCCTGAAAAGCCCGCTTCTCCTCCCCTGTGCTAGGCCGTACCACATAGTCAGTTCTTCTGGAACATAAAGAAGTTTGTGTTCATCACCCCTTCTCAAGCACACAGAACCATTCCCTTTGTAAAGTGAACCCTTTATTGGTGCTCTATTCTTGCAAAGGCCAAAAGTTCACTTTCTAGCTCCTACCAAGTAACTTCTGTTGGTATTTCCAAAATTACTTGATTTTTAGGAATCAAGAAAAGTACTGAATAAGTGGGAAAGAGACTGGTGTTTTTACATACTGATTTCAGTCTCGTTGCTAAGCCCAATCTAATGGCAACAAAAAATTCAGCCTTAGAGGAACAAAGAACTTCAAATCTGTAAGATGACAAGGGTGGTTTTTCTGCTTCCTAGGGAAAGTACCAAGAATGATTTCAACCCCCCATTACATAAGGTAAAATGTTTCTGCCACATTCCACATGGCCCTCTGTGCCGCTGTTCATGAATCTAACTAAAGAAATATACCATAGCTTTAAATCAGTAAAATACTTAGGAATATGTTTAACCAAGGAGGTAAAAGATCTGTACACGAAACAGTAGTACAAGCCTTTGATTAAAGAAACTGAAGAAGAAACAAATAAATGGAAAGATATCCTCTGTTCGTGGATTGGAAGAAAACTGTGAAGATGTTCACATTAGCCAAAGTCATATAAAGAGTCAATGCAATACCTATTAAAATCCCAGTGGCATTTTCAGACACAAAAATGCTAGAAATGCTACTTTATAATCAATAATTCCCCTACAGCCTAATCCTCTGGCATGGTACCTAGATCAGTGGACTTCTGGGGTCTCTAAAGACCATCACAGCTCTAACATAGTCAGAATTATCAGCAAAACCATGGCAGTACCTTATACTACAGTTTCAAAAGACAACACCCACCATCAGACATTATACTCACACCCGAGGAACAGGTATTGTGGCATCTGAACTGTCTTCATTTTCTTGCTGGAGAAAAGGAAAACATTAACAGGTAAATGGACTAAAGAATTTTGGTTAATTTAAGAGCTCTGGAAATCCAGTAACAAAAGATCTGGCAATCCTTAAAAAACATACCTTACAAAAGGCCTGGTCTTTGGTTTCTAGCCAAAGTTGGAAGAGTACAGCTAATTCCTTCTCATTATCTTGGGAATGGCCTAGAAAAAGAACAAAGTAGCAAAAAAATACCAGTAATAAAATGACCTAAGGTGTTCCTCAGACCACTTCTGCTCATTTGCTGTATGTACCATACGCCAGGCAGAGAACCTATCAGGACTTACAGCAACAGTTCTTCACACCTACTATCCCCTCAGCCTGTATAATGGCCTTCCATTCACCGTCTGCCTAGACCACCACTCTTGGGTGTACCCTAATTAAATCAACCATTTGACAGATATTTTCTGAGTAGCCACTGTGTGTCAGGCACTGGATGAGAGGCTAGGGTTATTCAGTAAATTCTGTGAACTCACGAAAATTCATGGAGTCAAGTAAGGAAAGAGCACATACTAAATAAAATCTAAAAGTGGCAGCTGTCACAAAGGATGTTATGAAAACTCACTCTAGGAAAGTTATCCTATCCTTGGGGGTTCAGAAAAGGCTTCTTCTGGCTGGTGGGGGCACAAAGACATGCTACATGCTGGCAGAGCAATAAGCTCTAAGGCAGGAGAAAAGTTTGCCACCTGACCGGCCTAGAAAGGGAGGAGCGCTCTCCTGCTGTGCCCTCCTCCCTACCACACGGCAGCACTTAACAGGATAGTACCCGTCCCTGCCCAGACTAGAAGCCACAGGGACCAACACTGCCTCCTTCTGTATGAAGCATGCAGCCCCCCAGGACCTCTCTCCCGACAGACTGCAGAGGTGACACTTGCCAAGACTCCTGTGTTCATGGTCCCTGCATGGAACGCCCATCCCCAGAAGGCTCCCACTGCTTATCCGCCCTTCGGCTCCTCTTACGCCTGCTCTCCTTGCAGAAGGCCAGTCCACATGCAGCAGGCAATTCCCTGACAGCCCCTGCTGTGAACTGTGCCTCTGCCTGCCCACTCCTCCACCTGGTAGTGTGTTCCCTCACAGCCTCCTCCGGCAGGGCTGAGCTCCTCCTCCTGCCTAAGCTCCTCCTCCAGACTATTTCTCCCCGGCTCTTCTGGGAAATCAAAATAAAACAAAAGCCTGGTCTCTGTGGCTCTTACTATCTCACTGTCCCCTGCCCCTCACAGCTACCACCCAGCGCTCCCCATCACAGAGCGCTCGCCCACACTGCTTCTCACAGTCCACTTCCTGCCATCCTGCTGGGTAACTGCCATCTCCACACAGATGCTCCACCAGATACCCTAACCCCACAGTGACTTCCCTGCCCTCCACCTCAGCCACTTATTCCCACAGCCACAACTGGACTTTTGTTATTACCTAAAGCTGCTCCATCTTTAAAAATGCCTAATCCCATGTTTCTCAACCCTTGCTGCACATAATAATCACCTGACAACTTTTAAAAACGCCAAGGCTTGGGGAGAACCAAGATGGCGGCGTGAGTAGAGCAGCAGAAATCTCCTTCCAAAACCACATATATTTTTTAAAATACAACAAATACAACCAATCCTAAAAGAGAGACCAGAAGATACAGCCAGACCACATCCACACCTGCGAGAACCCAGCACCTCATGAAGGGGGTAAGATACAAGCCGCAGCTTGGTGGGAACCAAGCGCCCCTCACCCCAGCTCCCAGCGGGAGGAGAGGAGTCGGAGCAGGGAGGGAGAGGGAGCCCAGGACTGCTGAACACCCAGCCCCAGGATTCCGCACCAGAGCGCAGACACAGTGCATGCGTGGGGTGCTGGAAACTAGGGTAACAGGACAGTAAGACCTGTGAGCGGGTCCCCACAGCCAGAACACACGGGACAAAGAAAAGCGAGTGCTTTTTGAAAGTCTTAAAGGGACACAGACTCCACAGCTGGACGGAAGTGCCCTGGGACACTTAGCCCAGCAGCTGGGAATCCTGGGGAACTCTGGGTGCCCAAACCCCCACAGCGCAGGTCGGAGGCCCCTCACCACCATAAACAGCCTCCCGCCTGTTCCCCATCCGACGTGGCTCCGCCATATTGGAGAAGCAGCCTGAGGCAGGCCACGCCCACAGCAACTGCAGAGCTAAATAAACTCCATAGCTGCAGGGCAAGATCAGAAGCCCCATCTGCACGCAGCTGCCCAGCACAAGCCGCTAGAGGCCGCTGTTCTCCCAGGAGAGGAAGGCCACAAACTGGCAAGAAGGGACTTTCTCTTCCCCAACACACATGCCAGCTCCCTACAAATATATCTATCGCCATGAAAAGGCAGAAGAAATTGATACAGACCAAGATCACAGAGGCAAACCCTGAGGAGATAAACCTAACCAGTCTTTCTGAAAAAGAATTAAAAATAAAGCTCATAACCATACTGATGGAGATGCAGAGAAATATGCAAGAGCTAAGGGATGATGTCCAGAAGGAGATTACAGAAATGAAACAATCTCTGGAAGGATTTATAAAAGGAATGGATAAGATGCAAGAGGCCACTGATGGAACAGAAACCAGAGAACAGGAACGCACAGAAGCTGACGCAGAGAGAGATAAAAGGATCTCCAGGAATGAAACAACACTAAGAGAACTGTGTGACCAATCCAAAAGGAACAATATCCACATTATAGGGGTACCAGAAGAAGAAGAGAGAGAAAGGGATAGAAAGTGTATTTGAAGAAATAATTGCTGAAAACTTCCCCAAACTGGGGGAGGAAATAATTGATCAGACCAGGGAAGTGTACAGAACTCCCAAAGGAAAGGACCCAAGGAGGACAACACCAAGACACATAATAATTAAAATGGCAAAGATCAAGGACAAGGACAGAGTTTTAAAGGCAGCCAGAGAGAGGAAAAAGGTCACCTACAAAGGAAAACCCATCAGGCTATTATCAGACTTCTCAACAGAAACCTTACAGGCCAGAAGAGAATGGCATGATATATTTAATGCAATGAAACAGAAGGGCCTTGAACCAAGGATACTGTATCCAGCACGATTATCATTTAAATATTAAGGAGGGATTAAACAATTCCCAGAGAAGCAAAAGTTGAGGGAATTTGCCTCCCACAAACCACCTCTACAGGGTATTTTAGAGGGACTGCTCTAGATGGAAGCACTCCTAAGGCTAAATAGATGTCACCAGAGAAAATAAAATCACAGCAAAAAAAGCAGACCAACCAAATACTAACTAAAGGCAAAAAATAAAATCAACTACCCACAAAAGCAGTTGAAGGAAGCACAAAAGAGCACAGAATAAAACAACCAACATATAAAGAACGGAGGAGGAGGAATAAGAAGGGAGAAAAATAAAGAATGACCAGACAGTGTTTAAAAGAGCTCAATAAGGAGTTAAGTTAGACAGTAAGATACTAAAGAAGCTAACCTTGAACCTCTGGCAACCAGGAATCTAAAGCCTGCAATGGCAATAAGTAAATATCTTTCAATAATCACCCTAAATGTAAATGGACTGAATGCACCAATCAAAAGACACAGAATAATAGAATGGATAAAAAAGCAAGACCCATTTCTATGCTGCTTACAAGAGACTCACCTCAAACCCAAAGACTATAGGAACAAAGAAAGACTGAAGGAACAAAACAGCAGCAGAATCATAGAACTTAAGAATGGACTAACAGTTACCAAAGGGAAAGGGACTGGGGAGAAAGGGAGGGAAGGGAGGGATAAGGGTGGGAGAAAAGANGTAGTGATTCTATAACACATCTTACTACGATGATGGACAGTACTGTAATGGGGTTTGTGGGGGGGATTTGGTGAAGGGGGGACCATAGTAAACATAATATTCTTCATGTAATTGTAGATTAATGACAACAAAATTAATTAATTAATTAAAAAAAAAAAGAATACACACAACAGTTCTATCCAGTAAGTTTGTTGTCTTATATGGGTGCAGTTTGTGGTATCCCAAAACAATTCCAATAGTAACATCAAAGATCGCTGCACTGATCACAGATCACCAAGAAAAATACAGTAATAATGAAAAAGTTTGAAATGCTGAGAGAATTCCCAAAGTGGGACACAAAGACATGGAGTAAATAAATGCTGTTGGAAAATGGCATGCTGGACGTGACACAGGGTTGCCGCAGACCTTCAGGATATAAAAAATGTGGTATCTTTGAAGCACAATAAAGAGAAGCATAATAAAACAAGGTAAAAAAAAAAAATACCAAGGCTTGGGCCCTACCCAGACCATCAGAACCTCTCTGGGTAAGGCCTAGGCACTTTTAAAAGGTTCCCCAACCGATCACAGAACAAGGCCAGGGCTGAGAGCATTTACACTAACCCAGCCATTCTGTGCCCACCCATTTTGGCCAGTCACCTAGACGTCTTCCTTGTTTGTTGAACTACTCCCACCATGACATCACTCTGACTCAACAGGACTGCTGTCACCTTGCTCCTCAGGTCCCCTCTGCCCCCTCCCCATTCAGTTCAGAGTCCAGCATTTCAATGGCCCTCTTACCAACAGTTATACCTAATACCTCTGCACTTCTACCTGTGTGCCATTCCAGTCTAGCAAAACTCAAATTCTCAGCTATCCATTCTCCATGCTTCAGCTCAGACAGCTGAGGGCTACCAGAGAAAAACACACAAAATGGTAAAGAATACCGCTGTAAATGAATGGTGAGCAGCCTCTGCAGGCCATCTGCCCTGCCTGACAATCTCATGCTGCCCGGTCAAGCTAGCTTCCCATGCTCCATGCTACCTACTTCCTCACCCTCACCTCCCTCCCCACCCACGGAGACCTCACCTTGCTCACCTCCTACTGTACACAAAAGCCCTAAGACCAAACTCCCTCAAACTTCCCACACTAAAACCTACAAGCCTAATACAGTGTATCCATGGGTACATTAAGAGTCAGCAAACTGGCCCCATTTTTGTAAACAAAGTTTTATGGGAACACAGCCACACCCTTTCATTTACACAGTCTCTGGCTGCTCTGCACCAGAAGGGCAGACTTGAGTAGCTGCAACAGAAGCATCTGGCCCACAAGCTTAAAATAACCTGTTTATCTGGCCCTATAAGGTTTGATACTCCTGACGTGAGTATCCCATGACAGCCGTTTTCAAGCCCCCAGCCTGTCGGGTGTCAGAAACAGCATTGCATCAGCTATCATAGGCTGCCTTCAGCTCACCTCCATCATTGACTCTTGTCAATATGGAATCACTCTTACAAGGAATTCACCATTTCTTCGTGTCCACAAATCCACAGCCTTTACATTACTAAACCTTTCAGTAACAATAAAGCTAAGGCCCACTCCCTACTTCTCGACTCTCGCATTCCTTGGCTTCCAAGATTCAACTATCTCATGGTTTCTTCTTGACTCTACAGTCACTTCCTCTCTGCTCTCCCACTCAGCCTCCCAACCTAGGAGCTTCTCAAGGCTTAAGTCCTAGGCCCTCTTTTCTCTTCACTTAACACTTTTTCCTTAGGCCTTGGGCTTTGCTTACTGTGCATATGCAATAACTCTCCACCCTGATTCTCTGACCTGGATTCTAAACCCATCTATCCTACTGCCTGTTCAACGTGTGCACTTAACTACCTCAAAGGCAGCTCAAACTCAGCACGTCCAAAACTGAACTCATGATCTGCACCCTGACCCAAGTCTAGATGTCTAGCTATCTACCTCAATGAAGGCACCTTCATCTACCAGGAACAAGTCTAGCAGGAGCAATGCCTGACAATACTCTTATTTCACTCCCAAATCTAGTCCATAACTGAGTCCTGGGGCTTTCACCACCTAAAACTTTCTCAAATTTATCTTTCTTTCTAGGTCCAGAGTGTCTTCATCTCTGCACAGGCTTATATGGTCTCTCTGACCTGAACTTGCCTGGCACCACGGCCCACACTGTTTTCTTCACCCAGATGCTCTTCTCCCCACCTGCCTAGTTCCTTCCTGATCATCATTACTATCTCTGCTCAGATATTCCTTCCTCAGGAAGGTTCTCCCCAGCTCCACATTATACCACAGCCTCTTTATGTAAGTTTCTATCCTTTCTGCTACTTGTCCCTTGAAGAATATGTAAGTTTATTTCATTTCAATGAATATTTGTTCCCCAAACAAATCTTAAACCCCATGAGGTGAGCAGGTTAACTTGCAAACTAATATATCCCCAAGCACCTAACACAGTGCCTGACACTAAGAAGCTGCAGGAATGTTAGGAATGAGTGAATCTACTCCTTTCACAACCTTCTCTTCAACTCTCTCTCTATGGACCATTGATAAAGAGAAAGGTCTGTGAATTTCAGCAAGAAATCAACACTGAATTTTCCTCTTACCACTACCAGCAGGTAATAGTCATCACATCACCTCAGACATGTCACTACAACTTACACAGTAACCAGGACTCATAAATTTAAGTATCCTATTCCTTAGAAATAGCTTTTTCAGGGCTGCCCAACATCCTACGCACACTATCCTTAACAGCAAAGCCCACTTTTAGGAAAGAAAAACAACTATATCATTTTAAGTTAATCTGAACCCATGGGTATGGTTACACAAGTGTTGATGCTATTGTAAATACTCTAGTATTTAAATCTAGCCAGTACTGGGGTATGTTATATAGAAGGGCCATTCACTTTAGCTTCAGTGAGCCAAATCCAACTGGAGGTTGGGGGAGGGTGAAAGTACAACAGAGGACCTGATGGACTCTTTCACTGAAAAATATTGCCTTTTTCAACATTCTAAGGGATTGTACTGACTGGAAGGCAGGAAGAAATTAAGAATAATATCTGTGTTATGGGCAGGTAATATGAGTTACTTACCAAGCAACTTCCACTGTTGGGTTTTCTCTTTGAATTCAACAAATGGAGAGAAACTGGAAGGCACAGCTGTAAGAAATGGATCACATACAGAAGTCCCACAGGTCAGAGAGAATGCTAAACTCAGGATAACTGACAGCCCTGGACTCTGAGGTTACTGTGAATGTTTCATGGTGTATCAAGAGAGCAGATGCATCCGAGGCATGGTATTATTATGCAACTCCGTAATGAATTTAATCAGTAAAGCTGCAGTCTACTATGAGAATTAATTATACAAAGGGAAAAAATAATAATGACCCTACAGAAAAAAGCACCTTACCACGGCTTTCTCCAGCAAGATACTGCAGGGCTGGTAACACCAACTCTGCCCAGTTGGGGGCCGCAGAGAACCAGCTATTGAGGGAGCTGGCTGGAGATGACTGCCAATCCAAAACTCGCTCCTCTAGCTGAGGGAAAGTAAAGGCAGAACCCAGTTAGACTTCTACTCTACACCAGCAATTCTACATATAAGCCTGAGCTAGCTGGAGTAGATCTGTCCAATTTACCCAAGTCATAAGGCAAGTTAGCTGCAGAGCTTTGGGAAGAAGCCAGATTGCTGCTTCTCAAGCTATAGACCATTCAAGATTTCTACAATGTGAACACGTTGATGTACACCTGACTTTTCCAAAACTTACCATAGGAAGACTAGCCTGCCCCTCTAGCAACAAGATCTCTAGTAGAAGAGAGAAGAAGCTGGAAGATATTTCATTGATTCCAAGGCAAGGTTTGAGGTCTTCAAGAGGCCTGATAAGGGAGGAAAAATAAAAGAACTACCAAAAGACCAAAATCACATTGTTTTAGGTCCCCCAAGTCTCCTAACAGTCATAAAAAAGTTCAATAAAGGACCACCCTATACCCTCTCCCCAACAGGACCCCTGGAATTCAGGGCTAACAGATTCAACACAAACCAGCTCACATCACACACTAGCACTGGGTACACCCCTCAACTTGACCCTTTTCCCCTGCTCACTTACTCCTCCTTGATAGCAGGGACTGCCAGCGGAGAGGGAGCCTGAGCAAGAGCTGGGACCCCCTCAGTACTGCTTAAGGGCTCAGCCAAATCCTCTGCCTCAGATTTGATCATTTTTATTTTCTTCTTCTTCTTTTCCTCTTTCTCTTTCACCTTTTTTTTAAGGACAGCCAAGTCATACAGGGCTGTGAAGAAAAAGCAACATGTCACACCACTGCATTTCCTCTCTCAGGAAGTAAAGGGTCTTATCTGCATATTATTTTCCCAAGGTCCACCAGGAAAAAAACAGAAAGTCTCACTAATAAGACATTTTGTTGTTTTTAACCAAACCCAGTAAGAGACTTACAAGTTAATCTTAACACTTATTAAAGAGCCAATGACCTATTGCACTGATTTTACATTCATTTTTCACCTATAAATCCATAAGAAACAATAACAAAACAAAAGGTTATTAGCAGGACAGCAGCTGTGGTTTCATTTGTTTTTACATGTAGACAGGCTGGTATAATTAATACCATCATCAGATGATGGCTCCGTATAGGGGATATGATTACCTGCTAGAGACCCCTTCCTGCCAGCATTTACTCGATTCATGATGTCATTGAGAGTCAGTTCGCCTGTCAAAAGGTCTGGGTGATCCTAGAGGTGATAGTCAGAGATTTGTTATATGGGCCCAAAAAGGAGTTACAACTACTGGTGCTTTTGCCAATGTACCTACCAGATACATTTAGACAGTAGATGCACTTGGGGAAATCATGTTGAGCTAGAAACTATCGCTCTTCATAACGGAGCACAGGAGAACCCAGTTCCAACCTTTCTATTATTTACTGTATGTCATTTACAGCTTATAAAACTCTTTTGCATTCCTTATGTGCTGCTCTTCAAACAGTCTTGTTAAGTGTCATATTTTACAGTCTGAAATGGGGTCAAGAGAAGTTAAGGGATTTGCCCAATATTACAGTGAGTGGAAGAGAGGGACAGAACTCAGACCCAACTTGCAGTGTGCGACTCTTCCTATCTCACCACCCAGCCTCAGGGAGACTGCCTTTTTTTTTATTCCACTATGCTTGCTCTCTGCTGCGCTGCTCTGATATTACCTTGATTCAGTCGAGTGGAGTAATAGAAATGATAAAAACTGGGAAGAGCACAGGATCTGACTCTTGGCTCAGGCACTTACTGGCTACAGGGCACAGGACAAGCTCCCTAACCTCTCTGAGAGCTGGTAAAATGGATATAGTGTCTCATAAAGACAAAAGTAGATACCATGTTAAACTTATAAAATGAAAGCATCTGTCTTCACACATCTTTGGCATTAACTAACCTCTCTGGTTGCTCCTGCCCCCTAACAATGACAGGAAAGGAAGCATAAATAATGCAGTGACTACCTGTATCTTCCTACAACAGCCAATCCAGAGACACTAGACAGAAAGCCACTAATGACCTCCCCACTCCCACCCCCGTCTTACTGGTTGATGTTTCCGCTTCTCATGGTGCTTCTTTAACATTATCTTCAGGTCATTGTCCCCCAGTTCAATTTTATCTGAGAGAAAATGAACCAAACCACATGGACAAGGTCATTCACTAACACGATGCTCAAATTTAGGTCTTTCTGGTCAGTTGCAATGTTCAAAACGTAAGATATTTCTGAGTTTCCCTTCTGATACTGTGCCCCCCAAGTACAACAATCCAACAACAGTCACAGGATCAACTCCTCACCTTTTCCATACATTAGTCCATAACAATGACTTCATTTACTTAACTGCTTTAAAATACATCAAAGATTCTTACTGAAGTGTCCTTTAGTATTGCTGTTTAAGTTCTGCTTTTATTTTAGCCCAAAATACCACCTGATCATCTCTAAGAAAAATTTTCAAAACAAAGGAAAGGAAGGCCTACCTACATGTTAGAAAGCGGAATTGTACAAAAACTTATCCAAATCTCCTAATTCTAAGGAGTGCTGCTTTGTCTTCCTGGCAGGTAAGACTGGTGCTCACCTCCCTCCATGGGAGCTCAGCTCTGCATCCCAACCTCCCGAGCACGGACCAAACCACATGGACAAGGTCATTCACTCAGTCATCAGCTCAGTTCTCACCTGCAGTTTTCATATCCATGGTTGAAAGCGTGGGCACCACCCTCAGGGGCACCGCAGGGCTAGGAGAATGCGCTGGAGAGCTCGGAAGCCATGAACTGAGATCTTCAAAAGAAAATTGTTCTTGTAAATCCAACGTGGCTGTGGACTCCAATAGGGGAGATTGGGTAAGTGGCCATTTGGGTTCAACAAGGCTAAGCCAACAACATGGAGGCCAGGGTTCCACCATTCCTTTCTGACCCTTCCCCAGACGTACTGGAGCACACTTAGGTCATTTAAACGGCTTTTCCAGGAAGAGAGACTTCAACTGAGTGATGGGGTCACATTGCAGCAGGCCAACAGTCACTACTGCTCTCCTGTAAGGGAAAAGCAGTTCTCTCAAGTGGCACCAGATAGGCCTACTGCGGAGAGCCCCGCTGTGCAAGGATTCATCTCATCTAAACTCAAATGCCACTTAAGCATTAAGAGCTAAAAGGTCTATAGCCACACCCCACCTAACAGGAAATGTCTCATGCCCAAAGATGCAGGAGTTCTGAGTCCCAATATCTACCCCCAAGACAGACAACGGGACGGCTTCTTTGCTGGGAAGATAAATGGCTTCCACTGGCACAAGCAAACAACAAACTGCTGGTATAAATTCATCAGCCCAGCTACTCCTAGAGCGCAAGGACACTCACCCTCTTCATCAGACGACAGGTCTGTGTCACCACACTCCTCCTTCACTTCCCTCAAGACCTTCAAGTAGCGCTGCTGGGTCCGCCATTCCCGCTCCTCTGCGGTGCGGGATGGTGAAGGGCGCTTCTGCCGGGAGGGAAGAGCTGGACCACTCCGTCGGGCCATCTCCAGTAGGTCCTAGGAGAGATCAGCAGTGGTATATTGGCAACATCCAGAGCTTGTTCTGATATATTCTCTAAGCCTACATTCTCTTTTCTTCATTTTTAACAAGCTCAATTCTCTCCCTCCAGATCACAAAGATGTATGTACATGAGTTAACATCCAAACAAAAATGGCCTATTTTGATTATTGCATGGAAAAAATACTAAATCTGAGTGTTGAACTGGTCAATCCAGAATGAATACTTGTTATAACAGCCACCCAAATATTTCCATACTGAAGCTTAAAGCACCACTTAGAGCCAAAACAACTTTGCCTCGAAGAATTACCAGGCTGGTCCAGACCCAGGGGACTTTGAGCTTGGTGTACTACATGTCTGTTGGGGCATTTGGAGGCCTGGGCACACTTGCACTTTCAATCCAGAGCAACCTGGCTCCCCTTAACCCATGATGGAAGCATTTGTTTTGTCTTAGTAAATACTGAAGCTACAACACTTTTAAGAGGTACCTTTTGTCATGCTTCAACAACTCAGCACACAATATAAAATTGGTAAGAAAGGATGTACAGTAATTATGTCACAACTTAACCGGTAGCATTTTTTCCTTAGTGATGTCTTGTATTTTATACCTGACCATTTCTTGAAGTCATGAAATCTGTGAATTCACTGCCCATGTTCTGTACCAGTTCCCAGCATTACTTACACTCCGGGAAGCCAGTATCTGCTTCAGCAGCCGATGGAAATATTGCTGCTGAGAAGTAAGGTATCGCTTGTACTGTGACTTGTAGCATAGCTGCCGATACTTGACCACCTCAGGGTTAAAGTGTCCATCTTAAAAGAAGATAGGTACAACTCTATGTACATCAGTCAGTAAATATTTAATGCATGCTTAAAATGTAGTAAACTTTATACTAAATTAGAATACAGTATTATAGTATGGGGGGAAAGATAATCTATATTTATGTGGAGAGACAGAAAACAGGTGAACAATATCCAACCTTAAATAATATTCAACTCTCTTAAAGACCACAGGAAATTAACTTGAAACAACTATAAAGAGTAAGGAGACTTAAATCAGGAATCTCTGAAGAACAATACATAAAAGGAGGCCTGATTAAAGCCAACTGTGGCAAAATGTTAAAACTGAGAAATACCGGTAAAAGTTAACAGATGTCTTGTATTACTTTCTAACTTTTCTATGTGTTTAAAATGTCAGAATGAAAAATTGGGAGAAAAATTAAGTAAATAGAAATTTAAAATATAAGTAAAAATGGGGAAAAGGCAGAGGAGAAGCATGTGCTAAGGGTATGCATCAAGAAATAACCTGGCATGTTCCAAAAATTGAAGAAATGTCTGTATGACTAAAGCAGAGTGGGCTGTAGCTGAGGAGAGGCATGAAATGTCCTGGGATGGTGTGCAGAGAGCAAACCACACAGAACCTCATAGGTCATGGAAGTTTGGAGTTTGCAATTTATCCTACATGCAATGGAGAGAATTTGAAGGGCTTAAAGCAGAGAGAAATAAAAACTGGTAGCAAGAAAGAATAAAAACTATTGCAGTAATCAAGGTAAGAGATGGTCAACAGCTTCCCTCCACACTCAGAAAAAAAGCCGAAGCCCTAAGACGAGCTGCAGGGCCCTGTCCTGTACTATCTCTAGTCTCATCTCCCAGTCTCCTTTTTGCTTTCCCTACCCCTGCCCCACTGGCCTCCATGCTATTTCCTGCACAAGCCACATACCTTCTCAAGGCCTTTGTACTTAAAAGTACCCTCTGCCTGTGATGCTTCTTCCCACTAACACCCAGAATTTCCTACCTTCATGAAGTCTCTGTTCAAGTGTCACCTCATCACCTGACCAACTACTAAAGCAGCCCCTTCCCATCCCTCTAGTTCCATCACCCTTCCTTATTTATGATGCTCAGTATCAACAAACATTTGCTTGTTTATCATCTGTGTCTCCCTATTAGAATGTAAGATCAATACCATCTCTTCAGAAACTCAAAGAATGTCTGGCACATCTTAGCTGATTAGTATACAGTGATTATATGGATGGAAATAGAGACTTGAAATATATTTTTGAGGGAGAAAAGATTAGACTGGCTGACATTTCAGTTGCTGGGGTGGAAGGAGAGCAGTGGAGGAGTCACCTGAGCACAGGACCGGCCACTGACACATGGACACACATGGTACTAACAGAGATCGCTGGCCTGAGATAAGGAGAGCTGGGAGAGGTCTGTTTGGAAATGTCAGATTTGAGAGCAGGTAGGCTATGATGACAACTGAGAGACAAAGGTTGAGAAACTAATCTCAGAAAGCTAAAATAAGGGGTTAGAGTACATGGTATTGCTGTTTTTCCAACCACCCTAACGATACCCAAGATAACTAATAACAGCAAACACTTAGAACAGTACCTGACACATAACTGCCACTACATAAGGGTCTTACATATATTTCTCATTTAATTTTTGTTAACAACCCCACACAGATTTAAGAAATTGAGGCAAAGAGAGGTGAACTAACTTGTCCAAGGTCACATCACTAATGAAAGAGGAAATCGGGTTTGAACCTAGATAGTCTAGCTCCAGAGTCCAAGCTCTTAACCATCATGCTATGCCGCCTATTGCTGGGAAACAGGACATCTGACCTTCAAAAACAAGCAGAGTTTAATGCTACTGATGCTGTCTGATATTCAGAAACTGGGCTATATTTTACCTCTTTGCGTTTACTCTTCTTTAAAGCCATGTTCCTTCAGTCTTTAGTTTCCCCCACTTCTTGACAGCATTAAATGCTACATTTAATTTTTTTTAATTAAGTTAAATTACTTAAACCATTAAAATACTATTTGGGGCATATTAAACTAAAAAATATTATTAAACTCATTAATAATTATGTTAAAATACATTATTAACTGCTTTTACTGTTCTAAACATAGCTACTAGAAAATGTAAAATTGAACATGTGGGCTCATACAGTATTTCTACTGGTCAGCACTGGGTTTGACAGCAGTGAGTAAAGGAGACCACAGTGTCAGATGAAGCTGGGTAAGTGGGCAGCAGCCAGATCACACAGAGCCTTTTAGGCTAGGACTTTTAGTCCAGATGAAGGCAACTGGTAAATGTTCTGAAAGTGAAGTTTTAAGCAGCTCACTGCAGTGGCTGTGTGGAGGGGGCTCCTGAAGCAGCTGATGCAAGAGTCATCAGCGGAGAGATGGGGAGTGAGAACAGGTAAGAACACACGTTAAGACCAGAACCTAAACACAGACAGGAACAGGGAGTGAAGAGGGGCTAGCAAAGAAGCAGGGTGGGGGTAGGGTCAAAGACACAGGAGGAAATTAGGACAGGGAAATATCAACAATGCCAAGGGGAAAAGTACAAGACAGAGGAAGTGCCTGAGGCACCAGATGCCACAGATGGACAGAGAGATCTAAAGCATCTGCTGGCTGGGATATTACATGGTTCACCGAAGAAACAGGGAGCAGGAAAAACAATGCTTACTGGAAAAACTGGTGAGATAGGAATAAGAGCTACTATTAGATGATGCCATGTCAGTGTTAAGTTTTGTATTTAAATACAGAAAATTTCTGTATTTCCTGTATTTCTCAATTTGATCATTTGTGGTTATGTAAGAGATGTTCTTGTTCTTCAGAGATTAATGCTGAAAAATTTAGGGGTGCTAATGTCTGCAACACTCTTAAAGGATTCAGAAAAAGTAATAACAATAGTAGTAAGGACAGAAATGATAAAAGAGTAAATGTTAATAGTTGGTGAATCTAGTGAAAAATATACATGGGTACCCACTATTAAAGTCTTGCAACTTTTCTGTGGGCTTGAAATTTAAAATGAAAAAGCTTGCCTGGGGGTAAAAAAAAAGGTCGCTGGTGGCAAGAACAAATAAGGGAGCAGCCACAAGGTAACAGGGAGGAAGCTGTGTCAAAGACAGCTACGGACACCTTTCAAGGAGCTTGAAGACAAAGGAAAATAACAGAGGACAACAAAAGGGACGGATGGGTCAGGATTTTTAGTATGAGCCCCTGAACACATCTCTAGGCAGAAAAAGAGCAAGTGGAGTGAACACCCAAGAGTGTACACCCAGGTGGACTGAATACCCAGGATGGAGAACACAGTTCACTGAGGAAACACATCCCAGAGGAGAAAAAAGATGAAAGTATCAAGAGCAAAGGTTAATCTTAAATAGAGGAAAAAAATCCCTCTTCCTCTGAGATTCATAGAGTGGGCCAGAATGGAAATGAATAGTGAGCTGGGACAGGGGATGAAGTGGGACATGGGAATTTATGACAACCCTTTCTTTTGTGAAATAGGAGGCAAGGGAGTTTGATAACCATTTGGAACTTAAGGAAAATGTGATTATTTGAAACAGAATCAGGAAAGATAAGCAAAAAGTAAAAGAATACCAAAAAGGCAATGACAGCCCCATTAAGACTGGGAGCCCTAATAACCATGGTGACGCAGCTGTCTGCAACAAAACTAGACGAACCACCATACTGGTCAGCATGATATATGCAGAAATTCCTGCCTTGACATTCCTTGTTTGTATCCTTACCAGATTATCATATTGGCAAAAGATGCCAGCACATCAGACAGTACTAACATCACATAAGGTCCCTGACAAACCCCTCAAACCAAGCGGGCGCTATCAGAAGAGATGGTTTACACTCACCTGAGCCTCCTGGCTTTAGTGAAATAAACATTTGCCAACTACGGAGGGGAATTCTTCTTTAAACTAACAACCCACCAAAGGAGGACTGCTGATTTTAAGCCCTAAGGATAACGAGAGGTCTTCAGTGATCAGCTTGTGCCTCAAGTCTTTCCCAGCTGCCAAGTATCCAGTTTAACAAAACGTGAGACGTCCTGTCCTTTCAGAGCCTCCCAACAAAGCAAGGTTACCCAGAAAGAGGGAGAGAAGAGGCTTCCTCTGCTCCTCTCCATTGGATTGAGAGGAAACTGTGGCCCCAAACCATCTGGCAACCTCCGTGCAGTAACTCAGGCAAGGACCACCACCAAGGCCAGAACTACTGAGTAATGACATTACTACATGGTCCCAAAGTATCATCCTACTGATTGCTTCTTAATTACGAAGGGAAAAAGAACGCTGACAATCCGTGGGTCTGCCGGACGCCACTTAACCAAGCGATTAAATGCATCACTACTAACGATGGGAAAACCGACATCATGTGCCTCCTGAGGTGATGGGAGAAGTTGCACTTCCCTTCTAGGATTCTTGGCAACAGTGTTTAACCCAAACCCAATTATGAGGAAACAAGAAGAAAGAAAAGAAAAATTCCCCAGAACACAGGACATTTTACAATTCAAGCATCCTGAGCTCTTCAAAAATGTTAACACTTTGAAAGACAGGGCCAAAAAGGCAGAGGGCCCTGGAATCGGGGAGCTAAGAGACATGAGATCCAAACACAATGCATGAGCTTTGACTGGATCCTGTATCTAAATGGCTACTACAAAGAACATTATGGGAGCAACTGAGAAATTTGAGTATGAACTATTCTACGATATTATTTGATCAATGTAACATTTCTTGGGTGTGTTAACAAGACTATCATTACATGGGAGAAAGTCCATGTTAAAAGATACATACACAATAAAGTTCTCAGGGGTAAAGTATCATGCTTTCTGAAGAAAAAAAGTGTGTGTACCTGAATCACACACATACATCTGAGTGATATAGCTTACCATAAAATGGTAAGCTGTTTCTAAAAATTTTTAAAGACTAGTGCCTCTAAGATGCTAGTGATATTTCATTTCTTGATCTAGGTGGTGGGTACATAGTTGAATTAATATTATAATAAATCACTGACCAATATACTCACGGCCTATGTATTTCCTGTATAAGCTAAATGTTTTGTTAAACAAAGAAAAGGAGAGCCCGGGCAGCAAAGTGTTGCACCAAACCACTCCCTACTGGGTATCTGTGCGTGAGAATAAACAGAATAAAACAAAGCAGTATTCACATTAAGTGAATGTGTTCCCACCCTCCACACTCTCAGAAAAAGAATGCTGAGCTACACACCTCGGAAAAGCTTCTGGGCAATGTGCAGAGGGTTTCCAAAGCGGAAGTTCTCCCCTCTGAACAGGGCTAGGATGAGCTGGTTTTGCTGCTCAGTACTGTCTTCTGGAAAGCGAGGCAGAAACTGCTGGAGGTGTTCGCGTTGAGAGTCACTCAGTACTTCTTGCCAGGTTGAGAAGCTGACTACATCAAAGAATATCTCAGGCTAAGAGAATCAGGAAAAGGCAGGAAAAAAGTAAACGAAAAAACTAAGTTCTTATGCTTTTCTGTGAGTGGTAATATATACATAGTATAAAATATTTAAATGTACAGTTCAGTGGTATTAAGTACATCTACACTGTTGTGCAACCATCAGTACCTCCCAGTTTTTAAGTCTTTTAAACAAACAAAAATCACATGGATCTTTACTTAATTCTCAAAACTCAAAGATTAAGAAAGACTACATAAACCACTTTCTTACACCCAACAGTAATAATCCAGAGGAAATCGTTCTCAGTAGAAAGAATCCCATTTGGAAACCATTTCTGCCAACAAGGAACATCTGAATTCAGGTTAAAATGAGTGTCAGAGAGAACTTGAGGAGTTGAGGTCACTTACTGAGAATGAGGAGAGCAGGATGGAGTTCATTTTCAACTTAACAGTTATATAGTGGCTATCTGCTGTGTGCTAAGTACTAAGACTACTGTACATAATTGTCTTATATTGTCTGGACAGGGAAACAAGTAATTACAAGAATGCTTACCAGAGCTGAGTCATATTTACGACAGTAAGGGATAAAGAAAAAGACGTTGAGGCAGGAGGGTTAAAAAACCACAGAGCAAAACCATAAAAAAAAGAATAATTAATACAAAAGAAAATACAGCAGTTACTTGTAGGAAGAATGGAGAGATGAGCAGGGAAGGGTACACAGGGACTTGAATGGTATTGGTAGCTTTCTACTTCCTCACCTATGTGGTTTTATATAGTCTTCTCCTATGTAATACACTTCACTATTTTATTAATTAAACAAAGAGTTCAGACAATGTTTGGCTAACACAGGGCACAGAAGGACAAGGAAGCAGCAGACAGCAGAAAAGAGAAGCAAGGGACCAGTGTACATGTTAAGTACCTGTGACTTTATCCTAAGGACAATGGAGAGCCACCCAAGGACTGGAGCAGGAGAGAACCCAGAAATCCAACCACCTAGTAGGTGTCTCCACATGCATGTACCAAAGCACCTCAGGCTCAATGTCCAAAATCTTCCCCTGCAAATTTTATTACTTTTATACACTGCTTTACTCGTAGTATCTCAGTGTTTGGCATAATCAGGTACTTACTAAAATAAGCGTTTGCTGATTAAATGAATGACAGAGAGATCTGAAAGAGTAATTAAAGACAATACAGATAGGAAAGGTATTATGGCAGCTTTAGTATTGTTACTTCAGGTGGGAGAGGGAATAAGACACAGGCAAAATGGTGACTTTATCTACAATGATTTACATCTTATGAGAGGAAAATCTGAACTAATGTGGCTAAATGAAATTATCGCCTAAAACTAGATGATGCACAAATCAATGTTTACTCTGTAACATTCTATCCTGTCTACATGTCTGAAATATGACAAAATAAACAAGATAAATAATCAAATACAGTTAACCCTTGAACAATGTGGGAGTTAGGGGCACCAATTCCTACAGTTGAAAATCTGCACGTAACTTTTGACCCCTCAAAAACTTAATTACTAATAGCCTAGGGTTAAACCAGAAGCCTTACCAGTAACATAAACGGTCAATTAACACATATTTTGCATGTTATATGTATTAATACTTCATTCTTAAGAAAAGTAAGCTGGAGAAAAAATTTTTCAAATTGTCACAAATCTTCAAATAATTTTCCGATATGTTAAAATAAATCCACATATAATTGTACCTAGGCAGTTCAAACCTATGTTGTCTACAGGTTAACTGTTCCATTGCACATAGTGCCTTCCTTGCACAGCACCATGTTATAAATAGTAGCCACCTGAACAATAATGATTACACAGCCTGTCTGTGAAAGAGCTCAAAAGCACACTGATATCCTATCCCACAGCATGTATTATTAACTGATCAGAAGATTACCTTATGGACAGAGATAATATGTTTGGGTTTTGTTTCATGATTCACAACATGGGTAACTATTTCAGTGTAAACATAAATGAAACTTTGCCCTTAAAATATACTTAACTGCTCAAAATTATCCTGTTAAAAATAGGACTTATATCATATTATCAAATTATGTTAACATGTTAGCTTATATTTTCTTCCTTAATCAGAATACTAAATAGACTTCACATTTTTTAAAAAAAAGACCATTCTGGCTGTAATGTAGAAAATGAAATTGAAGAAAGGACAGAAGACTGAAAACTTCTAAGTATAGAACAGGTTTAGTATAGTGCTACAGGGAGAAGCTGACAGAGAGGAAAAGATGATGATAGTGTTATTACTTACATCCTCTAGAAGGTCTTCAGGCAGACTAACCCTGGTGACCCCCAGGAGGCAGTCCTCCATAATACGTGTGCCATGGCCATCTCCACATGGACCCAGTTCCAGCGGATCCGTCAGCATATGGTCCAAAGAATCCATTGTTTATGTTACACAGGAAATCTAGACAAATATATGCAGTTATACCGCAAGATAGAAAGGCAGAAATCTCAGGGATCTGGTTGACACTAACACCCCTTCAGAAAATATTCTGGCCCAGAAACTATTCAGTATCAAATCTTTAGACCTTACCCTTATACCCTAACTTCTCCCTTTGTATACCATTGCATTATCATCTGAATTTTCAAAATCTTACCTAGTAGGTCTCTTTACTCAGACTATTTCTATAGTAACTCCCAAATTTATAGAATTTCTTATATCTTCATTTTATACATGAGCAAAATGAGACTCAAAGATTAAATGATAAACAGATCAGAGTTCACGATTTTAGACTTTTTAGACCAATACTCTAAAATAATTTGACAATCTTTTTTTTTTAACAATTCTTTGTTGTTCTTTCACACACACACAAAAATTCACTGCAATTCCACATAGACTAGTAAAACTCAGACATTAACAGTAAGTTTTTTAATGAAGGCCTATTAAGTGCAAGGCCCTTCAAATATCTCACTTACTTCTTTCAATTGTGTAAGATTGGGTTAGTATATCTATTCTACAGATAGTAAAACTGAGAATCAAAGTAGACAAGTAACCTTCCCAACTCCAAAGGTAGAACTGAAACTCAGGTCTGCCTGACTGCAAATCCATATTCTTAACACTATACATAATACCTCCTGTATAAACTCTCAATTTAAATCCTGAAAAGGGAACATCTTAATATGACTTTATTAGTTCACATAAACTCCAGATGTTCCAAGCACCTGAAAATGATGGCCAACAAACTCAGGGACCAATCTGCCTTTAGATGGTCCATCTGGTATTTATAACCATGGAAATGTAATGCTATTTTTCTCCTTCCTGTAATAACTAAAAGCCGCTGGTCACCTTTAAAAAAGTACACATTAAAACCATTTTGAGAGCACCTCATAAGACTGATGGCTGAAATCAAGTGTAAAGTTGAGGCCACAGAACTGAACAAAGCTAACAGGACTATGAGAAACTTGAACTCCATTCTACAAACATTTTGCTTAACTATCTCCTAGGCCTACCAAATGGACTAACAAGCGCAGTAAAATGGAGAGAAAAAAATAGACTTAAATCAAAACATCAAACTTCTAGCTTAGTCCCAGTGACTTTAGGCGTATCTTACCTCCCTAGGTGTCAATTTCCTTACCTGAAAAATGAAGGTCCTTATTTCCAATCCTGGAATCCTGCAAAGAATAACCTCCAAATGAGTGACAATTTACATGACTTAACATAGTTACACAATGTAGCGACGTATTGCCTTCTCATTTCAAACCTCTCAAATGATAAAGAACAGACCTGTAATACTACACAAGCACCTTCCCACAAATTATTTCAAGTTATCTTGAAAATATTCCAATTTATGTAAAAATACTGAAGAGAAACTAGCACTGGAGGAAGCAGCTATGTGGTCCCCAAGCAACTGCGCCCGATCACCTTTTCCCACATGGTGAATTACAACATCCTGGACATTGCACGTGCCTAAGTAACTGAAGCAGGTGAGAAAGCACATGCATATGCTGAGAACCAAACTTTAAAACAGAAAAAAAAAATGTACAAGCAACCTGATGCTTAGAATAGTCCTCTTAACAGAACTTACATAGAACGGGGTAATAGCTGCAAAGCCAGGGTTCCATCTGACTCTTACGAAGATCCCCTCTGTTTCACAACTTGCTCACAAGTTTCTTCAATTACAGTGGATGTGTAGCTAAATTTAATCTATTTGGGTGGCAACCTTTGCCCTGCTACTATTCTGAACAGGATCTCAAAAATGCAGGCAGCTGCCAGAGGGCTGGAACCCCGGAAGCAAGGATTTCTAAAACTTGTGGCGCCCTGAACCTCTTTACTAGACTAGGAAGGCCTCTCCCAACGGCCTTTCCTCTGCACCGGGGTTAACCTTCCTTTCTAGACCCTCCCCAACTCAGAAGCTAAACCCTTGGCTCCTTCCGGAGCAACCACCCGCTCCAAACCCTTCGCCCCGGCAGCCAACCCCTCCCTAGCCAACCCCGCCCCAGCCTAAAACCTGGGTCCCGCCCCTCTAAACTGCACCTCTGCGCCCACCGCCCCTCCCCCACGCCGTGTCTAACCCTAACCCCCACCCACCCAGGCCTGCCGGCTGCCAACACGCCTGCTCCGCAGCCCCTGGCGCACAGGGACGAAGACCTGAGGAGACCCAGCCGCTCCCGCCCTCCGCTCCCCGGCAACACTTTAACCCTTTCGCCGCCCCGGGCCCGCCCTCACCTGAGCCGCAGGCGATGGTCTCCAACCCGCTGCGCTTCTCGGCCCGCGCGCTCCGGGACGCGCTCGCTCCCGCCAGGCGACTCCGTGCGTGCACGCTGCGGAATCCGGCGGCGGAAGAGGCGGGGCTCCGCAGGGGCGGGGCCCGGTGGTGCCGGGGGGCGGGGCTGGAGCGGCGCTGACCAGCACCGCCGGTCCTCCCGACGTGGTTTGATGTTAGCATGTGGGGCTCACCTGGGTCAGGAACTTCCGGAGGGCTCGGATGGTGTGTTTACCTGGCCGAGAATTGAGGCTCCAGAGTCCATGAGTGAGTGAATGAAATGTTATTAGCTAACGTTTGCCGAGAGCATACCCTGGTCCATGCACTGTGCTAAGCACTGTCTATCCCTATCTTTGTACTACAGCTGTATGCTCGGTGCACTATTAACACCGTTTAACAATTGAGGTAACTGTTTCTCGGTTTTCGGTGAGAAGGTCGCGGACTGCAGGCCTGTGCCCCTGGTGTGTCCCTATTTATCCCCCCCGTCACCTGATACTCGACATCCAGAAAGAAGTACACACAATGAAGGAATACATTTTAAACTTAACTTGATGTCCTCTTAAGAATCATGGTCCCTTTTTTCTTACTCGCTGGGTCATACTTAGAACTGTTCCAGACTACTTACTCCACAGCTACTCCCATCGGTCGTGCAGAGACCATCCTCAGTTTCCTCAACTGGATGGAAACTGATGTTCCTCCTTTGTAAAATAGCCGTTTCCAAATAAAGCCCAATCTCTGCTCCCCTGCTGGCTGCACGCCTGCCCTTTGTTCCCGTTAGATCAGATCGTTGAGAGGTTTTTCAATTGGAAAACCACAGAGTAAAAGGGCAGGGGAACATCATTCCGTAGTTGTCACCCAGAAATTCCCTTACCTTGGGTCCCCGGCCAGACCATGTGAAACCAGAGTCAAAATACTACAAGTGTAACATTAAAAAAAAAAAAAAAAAAAGATCTCAGTAGCTTTTGTAACTCCACACATACAAACCGAGATGTTTATTTAAAAAAAATATTTATTAATTTTTACACCTGCTGAATAGCACAAGACTATTAACACTATAACTCACTGAATGTACAATAAATGTTCACATTTAAATAACAAGATAGGGTCAACATTTCAACCTGTGGGTTGGCTTCAGCATTGCATGAAGTGCTTTTTAGCCCTAGATATCTTAAGAGTTTTTTGAAAGGATAATTCCAAATCAGAAAACAATTCAAGAAGATCAAAATAGTTCTTTTTCCAGAGTAACAGGAATTTTACATGATGTAATATTTATTTATGTGGGCACAAGTCAAACAATAAAAAACTGTATGTAACCTCCAAAATTTTCACATTGCACTGATTGAAGTCTACAGTGCCAATGTATTATAAGAGGTACCGCGATATAAACATTGGCTACATACATTTTTTTCCAAATTGGGTCTTCAGATAACTTATACTCTGCCATCTCTTCAAATCCAAGTCCAACTTGAAAATCTGTTACCTTCAAATGAATGTGCAGAATGCCCAAAGCACTGTTTTTTGGCTTGACTGGCACCTGAGTCTCTGCCTGATAATATACAAATTAGTTTTATAGTCTTTACTTATTCCGTAAAAGGACAAAAACTTTTCTTTTAATGGGAAAGAGACAAAGAGGTCCTTCCGCAATATTTTCTTCTGTGCATTTTAAAACTTGAAATAACTGGCATAAAATGAACATTCCATTCAGTGATTGTTTTCTACTTTAATCAGCAAGTTATTCCTGAGGAGAGGGGAGGTACCTTGCCAGTTCAACTTAAAAAGGACCCAACAGGGCCAAGTTGAAGGTATAAAAATTAAACTGGACCTTTAGGAAAGTCTACTATTCTTCACCTAGCTCATCTTTCTAGAGTGGACACTAGGATATTTACAGGCATTACACTGGGCGACTTTGGGACACAGAGTCTCTATTTTGTGACTCAGAGTCAGTATGTTCTATTGAAACTGTTGACATTACCTCTTTGTTTACCAAAGATATAGAGTCCATTTTCAGTTTATACACATTTACCAAGTAACTTTCACAAGTTCTCTTAGTGTACAAATTTTCAGGAACAGCTAAATGAATGAGGTTTCAAAAATAAAGTGCAAAATCTACATATTAGTAAAGTTATTTCAACAGAATTGCTTACTTTTCAGAAAGGTATTTTTACCATAAACTCTAAAAATGTGTCAGTATGTCACAAAAGGTTGTTAATACAGACTGGCTTCTGCAATGTCTTACGCGTAAAATTGGAATGCACAGTAAAAAAAAGGGAAATATTTTTCCCCACTGAACTCATAGTTAACAAGACTCCAAACAAGAACACATATAAGAAAAACTCTCATTGAGGCAGATTTTTTTTCCCTCTCCCAACTAACAGTGTAATATTCATAAAGATTGGATTTCCTCTAGATCCCTTATAATTACCCTATGTATTATAAATGGTCCCCACATTTTTTCCCTTAAGTGTAAAGGTGCACATCTTACCAAAAGGTCCAGATGAATTGCAATATGTTTAAAGTTAAAAGTGTTAAGAAATCAGAAGGGCCACCTTTCCATCCAACCTTAAAGAATGTTCATTTTAAGACAGCATGAGAAGTACTAAAATACACTGAACACTGTGAGCAAGAGCTAGATGTACACCTGGTAAGAGCAATGAACCCATCCTTTACTGAAGAATGTTTGACAGATCCTGCAAGGCAGGACAAGGTTTCAGTGCTTTTCATTTTATATATCTATATCCATATATAGATATAGATATATAATTGTTTTAGTAATTTTTCTTGGTACCGATATCTCCAATACCTCCTTCTTGATACAACCACAACCAGAAAATGGGAGGCAAAGCTTTAATGTAGGAGCTTAAGTTTTGCTGACCTCAAGCAACCCTTTCTCTTACATGGAGCCTGCCACTGTGAAGTAATAAAGTAAAATCTATCCGAACGTGAAGTTCTAGCCTAATCTGTTGAGGGCCAGCATCCACTGATACCCATAGCCCAGCAACAGTTTTTCCCAAAAAGGCAAGTTTTTCTTTTTAAATCAGCATTAAACATTTCAATGACAGTTTTTCCTTCAGAGCATTACTGTCAAACCTTTCTTCCATCATTTTTATTTTCATACACAATTGGCTTCCTTCATTAAATTACTGAAAGCACAAACTCACAAGATGAAGCAGTTCTGACCTAATACATGCCCAGAAAATGCTCCTGCTCCTTTGGTGCCATGGCTTGGAATGAAGCAGTCCAGTGGCCATGGACTTGGCACATCTTTTCTTCACCTTTGGTACAAACACAATACACCACTTAATATTTCCACAAAGGAAAAGTAAGGCTTATCAATGTGTTAAAAAACCAACTCAAGAGCTAAGCAAAGTTTCTCCATCTTGAAATCTGCACTCCTCTGAAAGATCTCCATTCTGTGACAGAAACTCCGAGGGTTTGAAGAGTCAATTTGGTAAAGATGACACTGATAAAATAAGTCCCGGTGTATGTCTGAGTGCCAAAACCATGGTTTCCGAACTCTTGACTGAATGATAAACCTTAAAAAAGAGTTCCTCGTGTCAGAGGCTTTCAGACTTATGAACGAGGAAGGACATGTTGTGATGCTTGATTCTAGCTCAAGGACGGATTTTAAGGTTTAGTGATATGCACCTCGCTGCTCCCGGTCCCGTTGGTGGTGGTGGTGATGATGTACTGTGTGGGCTGCTGTTGGCTGGTGGTCTGGGGGTCCAAGTCACTGGGTGTGGCTGGCTGAACCTGGACTCCCCCAGAGAGGGCAGAAGCTTGTTTTTCCTCCAATTCTGGTTGACTTTCTGATAACACATAGTGACCCTGAAGCAGGAAGAAAAGGACCTTTAGGAATCTAAGGCCTAAAGTGGCAGGGAGAGAGGGAGAAGGAATATGAAAAGAAATGTTACAAGGGGACATCAAAGTAGGTGCCAATGGGAGATGCTTTACCTAAGTCCTTTATAGAGGACGGTGCAGCCACAGTAATTGACTGACTACACAGGTAATACCAGGGAGGACCTGAGTTGTTTACCAAATGATAGAGTGAAGGACTTCAGGTACAGAAATTTGCATTCAGATGGTGACCTACATGGCAAAGGAAACATGTGCTGTACTGCTCCTAAGAATTTAGAAATTCATAAAATAAGATTGCTATCTGTCCATTATTAAGATTAATACAAAATGGATTAAAGAAGAGATATTTAAAGTCTCCTTAAAGGGGAAGAATGGCCCCCAAGACAGGGAGTCAAGATCAGTGGTTCCCAGACTTCAGAATTTCAAAGACCAGCAAAATTTAAAGTAATAATAAATGTTCCCAAATTTTACTTTACCAAGTAAAATCATTTGTAAAATGCTACTGTCTAATAAGTTGAGTGACAACACTCAAAAGCATGGGAAGAACATTCTTAGAATAAAATCCCTTATAATGAATAAATTTAACTTTATGAAAACATACATTGTCTTTATCTTTCCTCATTTTAACTTTATAGAAACTTCATAGAACTGCAACTAGCTATTTTTATATGTTAACATTTTTAAATAATGAAATAATGAACATGTCCATCTGAATGGAGACTGGTCCATTACATAGGCTAAGAAAAAAAGATATCATAGAGGAAAACTCAAGCAGTAGCCTTTCCAAGCCATGTCCAGAAAAAAGCCATGGCCAAATACCAATTTGATTATCTAGGGCTTTATGTTCTGAGTGTCCACTCATAAGAACTGTGATTATGATTTGGTTTTCCATGTTGGGGGTCCTCTACCTGGAAGGGGCTGGTTCTATGGAGTTCTAGGTAGTCCACAAGTGTGCTTCAAAGAATCAATGTACATTATATTTGTGTGTGTATATATTGTGGGAGGGGGATGGGGAATATCCTCGGCTATAATCAGGTCCCCAAATGAGTCACTGGCCCCACAGGAAGCAAAATTTCACTAATCATGCCAACAAGACTATTCCATTTTACATTAGTTATTGTTTTCACTGACAATAGAGTTACTCTGGATTTAGATATCTCTCTTAAGTCTAGTTAATGGGAGTTTGCATGCTAAGAAATGGGTGAGCTCTCATATGCTTTAAGAAAAGAAATCAGGTTTTTTAGGCCACTAGATTACCCTGCTACTCTTTGAGGCCTTTTGGGAAACAGTTTTCCCATGCGAACATCCCAATATCAATATCGCTAGCCACTTCAGAGTATTTTTCTTAATTTAAATTTACTTACTCTGTCTTCTACATAACATAACATAACATAGAGACAAGCCAGAACAGACTAGTGAAGATAAAATCATAGTAGCACATACAATCAACATTGACCTGCCTAACCTAAATATAACAAGATGATTTATGGCAATGTTTTTCACCCTAGGGTGGATGAGTTGTTTAAAATAGTTTAGAAGAGCTCCCTAATAGATTCACTATATTATGAATAGATTCATAATATTATATAAACTATACTCAGTTGAAGACCAGTTGTCATGAAAACTCATTTTCTTTCTAAGAAGCACATAAAAAGGTGATCAATTATGAATCTATATGTATGTGGATCTAGGAGGCTCATTACAGTGACTAATAGAATAGGTATTATTACGCATTTGCTAGAGCCCAGCTTCCTATACAAGGCATTGAGGATACAGAGATAAAGACCAAGACTCAGCTTTCAAGGAATTCATCATTTACTGGGAAGGGATTGACAGTAAATTAATATTTAAACTGTGATAAGGATTATAATGTAACACCACAAAGTGTTACGGGAATACAGGGAAGTACGTCTAACTCAGATATGGAAAGCTGGGGAGTAGAAGAGAGGGGAAGGGGAGAGTGGTGCACGTGATGGGCAGCAAAGCCTTCCTGAGCAGCATGGCTTACCGGAGTAACCGCCTTCACTTGGCCGGTGGTGACAGGTGCCGCCACAACACTGTCTGTAATCACGAACTGACCTGGGGGAAGCGTCATCATTTGAATCTCAGATGCTGAAACACAGGAGACATCCATAGTTCAGTGGTCTCAGACTTTAATAAAAGTGTTAGAAACAAATACCTAACCAGTGACCACATTCCCCACTGAGACATTTTCCATGGATTTGCTTGCTATGAGTCTCATCAGGATGATATGGTGGTGAAAGCATCTCTGGTAAGACTCTATGAGGTCAGTATAGTTACCAAGTACTGGAAAAAACATTTCCTCTGCTTCAAATGTGGCTTCTGGATATCCATAAAGACAAATATTCAACAATTTTTAAATCTTGAAATAGGTTAGAAAGATTTACCTGTTAGTCAGTATTTTTATCTTTTACATTAAGATTTAAATTAGTGGCACAGTGTATCCACCATTACTAGTAATCACAACTTAATCTAACTTGAATTTTATTTCACCACCAGTGTTATAAAAGCAAATTAAAGAGAAAGATCACCCTAGCACCCAGTGGATATTTTCTAAATAATATTTTCTACTAAAAGGAACCAAAGATTCTTTGGAAAATGCCTGATTCTAGACCAGGGACAGAAAACACAGGATGAGCCTAGAAGATGGTGTCCACTAGAATGCAAGATGCTATAAAAGACAACAGGGTCTTGTGGAAAAGATGCAGGCGCCAATTTGAAGATGCTCCCATGAGCCAAAGACAGGATCATCTCAGCATCAATACAGATAACACTGCAATGGTTTGAAGCACATAAAATGTGCAGAAATTCAAGAGTACATAATAACAATACTAAGACACACATAACCAGCACTGGTCACCTTGACTAATACTGGGAAACAACTCATTTTTAAAACTGGCAACTAAAGGAGATGGGCCAGGTATTTAAAGCATTTACCCTACCATTTCTATACATATTGTACCTCAGAGTGACCTGGTAGTTCAGGTAAGTTTGTTTCCTTTGCAGCAGTTTTCTAGTTAATAAGTGAATAAAGAATGATAGAATCAGAATGCAACAACTTTGCAATCCCCAGGAAAGTAGTGGAGCAAAGGAAAAAGAGATAGAACCAAATATCATGTGCCTCGTGATAGGAGTACACACCCCAGGTATGAAGTGCCTTGGGGGAAAAAACTGAACCTGACCCTGATCGGGCCTCTAGATCTAATTGCCAATTCCTAGGAAATCAAAGGGACAGAAGAAAGCATCTTAAATGATAATATAGAGATGCCAATAGCAAAATCCAGAGTGTAGGAAATTCTATAGGACAAATGACCCAATTTCTTCAACACATAAATTTCAATATAAAAGAGAGATCTGGGCGATGGTTATATGAGTGTGTCTCATGTCAAAATTCATCCAGCTATACACTGAGATTTGTGCATTTCGTTGTATGTACTTCAATAAATAATAAAATAAAATACAAAATAAAAGGGAGAACTCTCAACAAAATGGGTATAGAGGGCAAGTACCTCAACATAATAAAGGCCATATATGATAAACCCACAGCCAACATCATACTGAACAGCGAAAAGCTGAAAGCTTTTCCTCTGCAATGGGGAACAAGACAGGGATGCCCACTCTCCCCACTGTTATTCAACATAGTACTGGAGGTCCTAGCCATGGCAATTAGACAAAACAAAGAAATACAAGGAATCCAGATTGGTAAAGAAAAGGTCAAACTGTCACTATTTGCAGATGACATGATATTGTACATAAAAAACCCTGAAGACTCTACTCCGAAACTACTAGAGCTAATATTGTAATTCAGCAAAGTTGCAGGATACAAAATTAAAACACAGAAATCTGTGGCTTTCCTATACACTAACAATAAACTAATAGAAAGAGAAATCAGGAAGACAATTCCATTCACAATAGCATCAAAAAAAATAAAATACCTAGGAATAAACCTAACCAAGGAAGTGAAAGACCTATACCCTGAAAACTATAAGACACTCTTAAGAGAAATTAAAGAGGTCACTAACAAATGGAAACTCATCCCATGCTCCTGGCTAGGAAGAATTAATATCGTCAAAATGGCCATCCTGCC